GTGAATCCACAGTGTGTTTTGCATTAGAAGTAGAGATGTATTTGAGTTAGGGGAAGAATCCTGTCTGGGGGCGGTCTGGCTTGGCTGCATGTGTACATGTGCCTAAAGAGTACTTCCTCATCCACTGATTTTCAAACCAAAGCAATCTCAGTGCCCTCTGGCCATGCTCCGAACCTCAGGCAGCTCCTGCCATCCCTTCAGACAGCTTCTTTGACACAGCCTGACTAAAACCCACCTTCCTAATGCTGGAGCAGAAAGGTTTTCCAAGGCAAAGTGAGACCTCTTGAAGAAAGAGGGCCTTGCAACAAAGTTTACACCAAAATACACTGTCTTGCCCTTAATCTTTCTTTGACCTGGTAGCGGGTAGATTTTGAACCAGGCTATGTGATGGCTTTGCACGTAGACCAAATCTAATTTTCCTGTCTTAAGCAGCTGCTGCTATTTTTATCATTCATACAGCACCAGCCTTCATGCATACTAAGTGCTGGCCCCATTCCAGCTGTATTCCTAAGCAATCCCGTAACACTCCTCCCAGTTTTATTTGAATGCAGCATTTCCCGGGCCTCGCTCTGCAGTCTCCTGCCAGCTCTCATGCATTGAGGAAGAGCTGCTGCCCTTCACTTCAGAGGTGGCTCCTTTTTGGCAGGGGGTGAAGCAGGCGCGTGACCTTCCTCGCTCTGCTGGCAATGGTGATGTGAGCTTTAATTAGCTAACTTCAAGAACTGCAGATGCAGATTTGGGTTTATGGTGTCACTAATGGGGGAAGACATTGTTTAGAGGGCAAATCTGAAAGGTAGGCCAGGGCTTTCTGACTGCATTTTCTGGGAAGTGCATCATTAACCTTACAAAAAGCCTGCTGAAACACTTGAACTTCTCCAGTGCTGTGTGATAGGAATCAGTATCTGTTGCTGTGTATCAGCCCAGTTTCTCCCAAGTTACTTGTTAAGCTTACCACACAGGTATGCCTATCAGAAGGGTGTTATTTCTCACTGGTAATGTAGGAATAATGTTAAGCATATCCAGAAACTATTAGTCCCACAAGCCCTCTGGCACTTCGTTCTTTAGAAGCTGTGATAGCTCAGTTGATGCCACCATTAATTTTGTTACAAATGGGAGGGTGGTGATGATAAGGACTGGGAAGCATGCCAGTCCTCAGAGGAAGGTTTCCCTAATAAATTACTGGGTTATAATGGAAGGAGAAAAGGAAGGAGAGAAGAAAATGATAAGAACACCTAGAGTGAGGGAGATTGTTTGGGGTAGCTCTGAGATGAGCAGGACAGTGCCAGAATCTTGCCTTTGGGGGTTGATTTAGAAAAGTGAGGCCTTAACATCCTCACAAAAACTGTTCTCAGGGCTGTGTGTTCTGGTTATCTGTGCTGAAGGGCTGGCCATGTGGCGTACACATTGTGCTCCTTGGGTCCTTGGAGGCACGTGTTCATTTTCTGCTTGACCCAGCTGATTTCTGATTATTTTCCCAGATCAGAAATTTAACTTCCATGTGCGTTGCCTGGGGGACAATACAAGAAAAATCTTTCAATGAACAGGAAGAAAATACTCTTCATTCATTGTTATGCATGAAAATTAAGAACAGCAGCTGTCTTTCTGCTTTTCTTGGGGACAACCCAGGTGTCATTAAGGTGATGTTTCCACCTCAGAAAGGGCTGTATTTCAGTGATGTGGCAGAAAAAGGCTTGCTGGGAAGACCAGTAGTGTTTTTGAGGATGAAATGTGTTACAGAAACCCAGAGTGATGTCTCTGTTCTGGACAGCTGCTAGCACATGAAAGCATACTCTGTGTACACAGACAACCAACCTGGAAGATCCTAATTCCTTCCTAGATTTGTTGCTCTTGTGACCATTAGTCCTGGCTCACATCTGAGGGTCTAATTTATCTGAACCAGTGTAGTGCAGCTGGGAGGGAGCCACAAATCCATCTCCAGTGCTGTTACTGTGTTTTCTTCACTCTGACGCTGTAAATCGGTGGTCCTTGCTGAGCTAGAGGTCACTGGTGGTCTCTGTCAGTAGGCTGCAGGCCCTGCACAGTGTGGCGTTGAAAATAAACAAACTCAAGACACAGTACTCTCTGCTTCTGAAGGATCACTGTGGTCAGTGAGGCATGGTACTGGTGCCTGCTGCCTCGCCATGCGTTCTGAGCACACTGGGTGTTTTATTGTCCTGCTGCCTTGCTTGTCAGAGCAGAGCAGTGCATCCCTCCTAGTGCTGCAGGGCTGCCAGCACTAAGTGGTGAACATCTGTGTGTATTCCTTGAGCAAGGGAGGAGCAGCACAAGCCCCATGGGGTTACCCTGCATTGCTCTCCCAACATCTCAAGTAATTCAGTCTGTTCTGACCTCTTTCAGCAGCAAAAGCAAGTGGAGGTGCTGTTTGTAAATAGGTTTATTGTAGTCCACGGGTGCTGGAAATATTGACATGTAGAAGCTTCCCCAGATGCTAATCAAGGACCCAGCTCAAATGAGTGACCTGCATGCAAATCCCACAGTCTTATGTTTTTCAGACATCAGTTCTTCAGATCCCATTCAAATCCCAGTGCGAGGCAGCGTGTTTAGTTATTCTGGTCAAACCTCCCTGCTGCTCTTGGCTGTTTTGTCCTTGCTGTGCTGAAACAAACCTGCTCGAGGGCTTCAGCCCCATTACGAGGACAAAAGGACATCAGACATGCTACCAGAGGGAAATGGGTCTCAGTTTTGAAGCATAATGCAGAATGGGTGGCTTAGAAATTCTTGCAGTGTTTGTCCAGAAGACATCCTTATGGATTATTTTAATTATTTATTATTTTTTAGCTTCCCTAAAATGTAGCTTGTGACATTGAGGTGAGGATACGTGCTGGTGGCGAGAGGATTAATAGTGAATATGAGAATCAGTGGATGGCAATAAACAGCCAGTTCTCTGGGAGATTATTTTCTGAATCAGAATAGCTAACACATTGAGACTTGTGGGCTCTTCCTGGGTTTAATGGGGCACTGTGAATGCACATTAGAAAGTGGCTGTGTTACTACCAACACCTTCATTTATTGGAACTTGGAATATTTTTGCATCTCATTTATTCCTTTCCATGGGGGTGTTCTGAAACCCTGAAATTACTTGGTCTACTTTACTTTCTCAGTTTTGTTTGCTAGTGTAGCACCATGCATGGATTTTGGATAGGAGCTCAGACCTTCAGAAAACAAAGTAGGGGATCATATTTTGAGGGGTTTAAAAGCCCTTTGGTTCTCTTTGGAACAAAACAGATGTCTTAGGATTCTTCTAATCTCTTTATATGATGTCTAGAGCTTAAAATGCCCCTTATAAAGTTGTCAGTATTCCCTTAAGAATCTCTTGCTGGATATTTTTTTTAATCCAAGTGTGTTGTCATTGGAGAATTCTTTAGCCATGGAGGTTTGGACATGGTACACAGCTCCAGTAGTGCTTGGTGACTGAAAACGAAGGAGTGAAGAATAGGAGGAGAACCAACTCTGCTCAGTCTGTTTTGATCCAGCAGTGCTGGAAGCAGAGCCTGTGTCACACAAGAGGTGGTGCAGCACCCCTGAGTGGGGTCAGAGCGCTGCCCTGAGGATCCCAATGTGCACCTTGTGTAAACTGTAACTTCAGTGGTGGGTTAACTGCTGATGCTGAGGGGGTCTGAGCAGATGGGGGTATTGGGGAGGCCTGAAGGAGCTTTACAGATGAAACTGGGATGTGGAGGTGGCCTGGTGAAGAATGTGGGCAGAGGAAAGAGCAGTGAGGAATGGAAAGCAGAGGAATGGAGCACCAATTATGTAGATCTGGAGGTGAAGGTCAAAGGCTCCATGTGACTGGTGTGTGGTGACTCTTTGGTTTTTTTAATGCTTGTACGTGTTGCTGTAAACAGCCACAGGCTGATCTGAAAGCGCTGAGAGGCAGAGGCTGTAAATTACAGGCGTTGTTCTCCTTATAAAGAGAGCAAGCAACTTCAAGTGTCTGGCTTACAGCATTTTGCATGCTCGTTCCTCCACTGCTTCTCCAGTCAGGTTCCCTGTATTAGGTTTGATGTGTAGTTTTGGTGAGTGGCTGTGAACCTGGGGGTACTGGGCTGGCCATACCACCCTCGGAGGGTGGGATGATCTGTACCTGCCTTCAGGAACATTTTCTTCACCAGAAGGGTGCTCAGGCATTAGAACAGGCTGCCCAAGGCAGTGCTGGACTCGTTGTCCCTGGAAATGTCCAAAAACTATGTAGACGAGTCCCTTAGTGACATGGTAGTGGTGGCCTTGGCAGTTCTGGGTAATGGATGGACTTGATCTTAAAGGTCTTTTCCAACCCAGTTATGATGCTGTGATTGACCCCTGCCATGCTCTGTGCTGAGGGCAGCTGGCCCACGGCCACCTCTGGCCCTCTCTCCTCTCCTGGTGGCCCCTCAGCGTTGTCCTCACTGGCAGGTGGGCTTGAGGTGGCCGAGAAAGCTGATGAAGTGAAACGCAGCAAGTCTTGGAAACCATGGCGAGACGTGAGAGGTTCAGTGCACAGTTGGCTTCTGCCCCAGCTCTGCGGTGAGGAGGGGGGCAGGTCCCCAGGGCCTGGGTTGCTGTGTCCTCCCTGAGGAGACGACAAGAACCGGTCCCGGGACCGCGGCGGGCCCCGCTGCTCAGGGGAGGGCGGCGGAGGGACCCCGCGGCGCGCTCCCGGCGGGTTAAACAGGGTGAGGCACTCTTTAACCGCCGGCGGAAGCAGCCGAGCGCTGGGGCCTGCGCGATGCAACCTATAAAAGGCGTGAGGTGGCGCGGAGGTCTGAGCAGTTGGAGCTAGGGCTGGCCCGGTTTTGGTCCGGTGGCAGTTGCTGGCGGAGCGGTGGGAGCCCCAAGGAGGCGGTGGCGGCCTGAGACCCCGGTGTGCACCTCCGTAGCGTTCTCCCCTCCAGCGGGCGGTGCGGCGGTGACAGCGACAGCCACCCCCGGAGCCGCGGGCCGCGCCTCCCCACCGCCCTGCTGGATGCTCTGAGGCTCGGTCCCTGAGGGGGGCCGCGGGGCCATGGGGGCGGACAGCGGCAGGGCGCGGAGCCCCCTTCCCCATTGAGAAGGCCCCTCGTCCCGGCGCCGATGCCGCACTGTCGCTTCTTCCCCGGCCCCTGAGAGACTTCCCCCCGCCCAGCTCCGCTCCTTCCCCGCCTTGCCCTCCTCATGCCAGACGGAGCCCCTCGCTTCGGAGACGCCCTGCAGCAGCCCCGCTGGGCTGGGGGCCTGCGGCTGCCCCCGCGGTATGAGAGGAGCTGCTCCCGCCGCCGGGGGCAGCCAGGAGAGGGGCAAGCTCCTACCCCGCCGCCGGTTGCTGTGAGGCGGCTGTAGCTGCCTTGGCTGGAGGAAGACCCCCTTTGTTTTCTCTCCCTTCCTTCTTCCTTCGCGGGGGCTTCATGCCCCGCTGAGGGATGATGGAGGTGGTGGGAGACTTTGAGTACAGCAAGAAGGACCTGATAGGACACGGAGCCTTTGCTGTGGTCTTCAAAGGTCGCCACCGCAAGGTAAATAGCAATGGGCTTTGCTCGCAGCCGGAGCGGGGCCGGTTACACAACCCGGGCTGGGGGTCGGGGTCGCTCCGCGGGGCTGCAGCCATCAGGAGCCCCTCCCGGTGGGTAGCGATGGTTGGGGGGGTGGGGGGGATGTCCTCTGAGGGAGTTGTGTCGTGATTTGTGTGTTTGGAGAGAAATAAGAAGGAACGGGCCGGGGTGGGCTGGGTACCGGGGTTTGGGGCTGGGCCTGCCGCTGCTGCAGCCCCAGAGCTGAGCTGCCGGCTCCCGGCCTCCATAAACCTCCTTTTTCTCCCGTAACAACCTATCTGCATTCCCACCTCTCCTCTCTGCTGTTTGGTAGCTCCCTGACATAGCGGCGAGTGGAGAGTTGCAGCTGTATGGGAGGCTGAGCCCTTTGTTTGTCTGAAGGTTCATGTTTATCTCGCTGGATAACGAGGGATCTAATGGAAAATTGTCTCCTTTGGGATTGGCAGATCTCTTAAATTCAGAGGTGTCTGGTTTCCTGGCGTGGCTTGCTAATCACCCTGGATATTCATAGTTGGTTATGCCTACAGTGCTCTGCTTTCCAGAAAACAACTCTTCAGATTTATCATCTTGGAGCACTGGGGCAGCACTCGCAAGTTGGAGAGGCACAGGGCAGTGATTTCTGAGTTAAAAGGGAGAAAGGAAGACAAAAACCCACAAAAACTTTAAAGGCCACTGGAGATGCTCCCACCTTACAAATAGTCAAATTTATTTTTAGATAATATATAAACAGACAATACAGAAGTTTACTTAAACAGAGATGTTTTCTTGTGCAGTTTTCAGCTGTAGAGCTTAAGGAAGAAAATAGGAAGCCCTTACAGGAGAGTGAAAGTAACTGGATCATTGAGAAAGGACTAAAAAGCAGATACATAGTACCAATACAAAAGAAAAATAAATGGGATATGATTACCTGCTACTTTTGTTTCTTAAATGCTTTGGAACCCATGAACGTGCAGTGTAGCTGCAGCTGGTTTTTAATAGCTATCTAGTTCTTGATGGTATCATGTGATGCAGTCACTGGTGGGTCAAAACCAGTAGAAAACTGACAGTACTTTTTTGCTTGTTTGCTTCCAGAAAACTGATTGGGAAGTAGCCATAAAGAGTATTAACAAAAAGAACTTGTCAAAGTCACAAATCCTACTTGGAAAAGAAATAAAAATCTTAAAGGTATGTTAATTTGCAGTGATTTTTAAAGCTTCTTTACTTGAAAAGGAGACTTTTGCCCTAGTTCATTTCAGGTCATGGGTGATATCACAGTAATTGCTGTTCTGCTGTTTGTTTCTTTGGTTAGTTCCAGGAGAAATTTGGAACTAAAAAGACCAAGTAAAAAAAAAAGAGATAATTTTTCATTCTGGAAATGGTCTCAGAATGGATTATGGTCATGATTTTGTAGTTAAAAGTAGAAAATTATAGAACCAGTCCCTGTGCTTTACTTATTGCACAGGTAGAAAATTGGGCCCTTCAGGATGGCTGATGTGCACCTTTCCTAGGCAGTGCATGCAACAAAAGTCATAGCTGAGGGTAAAACTTCAGTCTTTGATCTTTCCTTACCTTCTTTGCTCAAAGATGCCTTGAAAGCTAAATCACCATGCTGAATTTGATTCCTGAAGCAGTCTTCCCACTTCTGAGGTGTGTTAATTGGTAAAAATGTGTAGTGTGGCTCTAATGAAGGAAAAAATGGAGCATCAGTTATTCAGTGCTGTTTTACGGCAGCGTCTCCTTGGATGATCTCTTGTCATTCTCCACTCTCTGAACTTCACCACATCTCATTTTAGATAGTTTTGCAGTAATAATTAGTGCTGCTTTCTTTCCATGTTTCCAAGCTTCTTGAGATACATCACTGTTTTATACACTTAATATATATATATGTTATATTTTAGTATATTTGTTACACATTAGAAATTGTAGTGTTTGATATATTAGTGTGCTGCAAGTATTTAGTGAAGACAGGTGTTATTTTGAGCAGTTACAGTTAGTTTGGGCTGACCTGTGAATTTTATTTGGTGTTACTTGGTTTGATTTCATTGCAAAATGGTGCAGTTGGCTTGAACCAGAGTTGGTAACTCTGCTAAGTGGGAAATGTGTGAGACTAACTTTAGTGAAGTTTTGAGTGTTCAATGAAGGATCAGTACTTCCTGTAACAAGATGTAGAAAATAAGTTCTGCAACCAGATGTTTTTATGACCTCTGAAGATATTGCCTAATTTCCTATTCTGTAAATATTGTCTAAACAGCTGGGATTTTCTCCAAATTCCATCACGTGGTCTAAACCAGATGCTGCTTTCCTGTGTAAAGTTTGGTTCTCTTTAATTATCACCTAGCATAATAAATTTAAAAGAATAATAATAATGACAACAGGCCATTTTCATAATGCAGATATTTTGTTTTATAGGAACTTCAGCATGAGAACATTGTAGCTCTTTATGATGTCCAGGTAAAATATATTTTGATGCCTTTTCATTAAAATTTATTTATGAAAATACAATGCATATGTATGCTTATTGAGTAGAGAATTTTGAATGGCCACATATTTTGTTGCTATGATCACTCTGGTATTTAGAAAAAGAAATTCAGTTCCCTAGCAGTGGTGGGGGAGTTGTGTCATCTTTAACACACTATGCACCTACTTTGTGTTGGCTCTTTCTAGTAAGCAAGATGCACTGTTGGGATAGAAAACCATGAGGAATACAGTTTACTGCCAGGCAGCAGGGACAGGTGGCAGCCTGAGAAGCTCTGCAGAGGCTTTTGTGCAGTTTGGTCCTGTCTCCAGAGGAAAAGAATCAGCTGGCTGGGCTGGGAGCTCGATCAGTGGCATTAACTAATTTCCTTGGCCCTATAATTTAGTTGGGAAGTGGGTGTTTGTGGATAATGACTGAATACACCTGCAGGAAAACGTAGTAGCAGGAGCTGATCTGGATGGGTGAAGCAAGTGACATTAAGAAGCCAACATAACTTATAATACTGTATGGAAAAGGAGTAGCATCCTTGAGGTCTCCGTAACAAGGAAATGCGTTGTGTAGCTCTGTATAACAGTGAGGAAGAACTGAAGGAAGAAGACGACCACAATCACACCTGTATATATTGCTGTTGCCTGTGTTCAAGAGACCAGGATAAGGTATAAAAACCAAGCAGACATTTGGATATTTTCAAGTAGGAGAAATAAGAATTAAATGGCTTCAAATGGTCTTCCTTTCTTTATGCCCAGGATCTTAACTGGTAAGGTGAAGGAGTTGGTTTTCTAGCCTGTCCAGGGTGGTGTATTTTACTTGATAGGAAGTAGATTTTATCCTAAGGCCCGCAAGTGTTGAATAAAGCTAAATGTGATGTAGGTTATACAGCCATTTGTTCTGCTTGAATAAGAACTATGTATTTATCTCCTGGGCTCAATTCTAATCTTAAATGCAGAGTTACATTTAAGAAAAAAAAAATAATTAAGAACCATCCTTGGGCAGTGCACAGTTACAGGAATAGAAAATAGACATTTTTACATTTTTCAGTATTTTCTGTCTTCACACATTTGCACCCTTAAAGGTTTTCAGCTTACGTGTAGATATGTATCTCTAGCTATAGAAATCTGTGTTCACATGATACATGCATGGCAGGCTCAGGTTTTGCTGTGTATAGTGCTGCAGGACATGTACTAAATTCTTTTGGCTTTGTTACATAAACACCAGTTTTGTACCAACATGAAATGTACATCAGAACTTCCCATTTGGATGTGTAGACTCTTCTGTCTCCTGGATCTTCACTTCAGAGCTGAGGACTTCATATGATATGAGCTGCTCTGAGAGGGAAAGTACAGGTTTTCCTGACTATTGCTAATTGGAAATAATCTGTCAGCATCCTAAATTTAGTATATCCAGACATCTTAAAAGAAGCTTGAATTGTTGACTGAGAGCGTTGGTGTGTGAGTAAGCAGCTGAATTTCAGATTTATCATTTACAGTTATTTATATGTGAGCATTACTTTCTAAGCTTTGCACTGCAGGTAGTTGACTAGGTGTGTATTTTGGTGATTTAACATTGTGTGGCTTCTAAGCCTTGGAAAGGCTCTTTCTTCTTTTGATCTACGCATAGAGCATCCACAGGGGAAGAGAGGGCAGAGCTGTACACTTGTCTGTGGTTTCTTTACCTAAAGGTTATTTATAAACATAACTTCTATGCTTCTCAGCCACAGGCGCGGGTGGCTGTAGAGTGACAGGACTTCTTGAATGATCAGTCCTGTGCTCTTCATTTGAGAAGGGAATGTTGCTGCTTGTCACTGACTGTTGCATTTAAATAAAATCAACAGTTGAAGAGAAGGGAAAACCTGTGTCTCATACCTTGGGCATATTTCAAACACGTCAGTGGAAAACATAAAGCCTGGCAGTATGGTGCTACATCTATAGAAGAAATTGTTTTACAATATATGAACTAAAGAATGTGACACTTGCACAAGTAAGCTTTTCCCTTCCTGCACAGGGCTGTGTTTGTGAAATATTATCCATCATTAACTTGTATGATTACATTAATTTATAACCCAGCAAGAATGAACACTATGCAAGCCGTTTATATGTCTACTAGGCTGTTACACCTACTAATTTTCTTCAGCATTTCATGTTCTAGCATGTACTGCCCTTTGTGTTTGCCATAATATTGTGGACATGGTGATATAGTACAGCAGATAAGACTTTAGGATTTCAAGCAATTTTTAAGTTGCAGAAGCTATTTTTTTTGCCTCAGTGCTGGAGCCAGTGAAGTCTGTCACAGTAGGAAGATCTCAGTGTGACTGGGAGTCTTGTTTTATTTTTATAGTTCTGTTGGTCTGAAGTTTTTCTTAACCTTGAACAGTTTGAAATAAGAAAAAGCTCATGTTTCACACGTACTGTTTGGCAAACCATTTAGCTGAATAATCCGAGAACTGGTTGTTGCACCAAGTTTCCAGATAGAAAAGATGGTGTGAAATGTAAGTCGCAAAACTACATAAAAATGTGTAAATTAATTGCAATGAAGAAGAAATATATTTACATCTCATAATAGTAAATGAAATTATTTGTACTTAATGGCAGTACTTTTGAGATTAAAACAGTATCTGCGTAGCAATTTGGAATATATCTTTCGAGAATGAAAGAGTAGTTGTTATTTTACATATTGCAAAAGACTTAATTTGGAATTGTTTTCACAGGAGGTAGATTCCTTCTCTTTCATCTGTTTGTTTATATGAACATTAATCAGTGTAATAAAGAGACGTACACCATTAGGTTTTAATTACATCTAAGGAGAATTTATGAACCATTGTACGGAGAGTATATGAATATTTTAAAAGCTTCTTTATGTTGCTGTTGCTTCAGCTCCTGTGAACACCATTTTGATAGGTTACTTGGTATGTACAGGGTGCTCTGAGATAAATTACTAGAAATGCCATTCATCCAGAGACACACCCGAATGAATTTGTGTGTGCATTGGTTGGCATCAAAATCTTTTGTTCTGGTGCCAGCACAATAATTGCCCTTGATTTCTGTGAGGTGTTTACATGCAACACTGGCAGGTTTGATCTGCAGTTCAGCATTTGATGTGAACAGAGGAGCAGTGCATACCATTGTTGCTTGTGCCATCTCAGAAGGCTGGGGATCTGCACACCCGGGTGTGGAGACCATTGGTTCTAAGCCTGAAGACATTTGTGCAGATAAACTTAAGTATGAACTCTTCATCTGTGAGAGGCAGATGTTTTGCAGCAGTGTGGCTCTGAAAAATAAATATAAGCAGCTCACCTCTAAACGTGAGATTAATTTTTTCACAAAGTGAAATGCCTAAAACACCCCAGACTGTAATCGGTGGATAGCAAGACGTAACCTGTTGAGACCTATTTTTATTTATCTTCTTGATCAAGACTTTGGTAGACTTTTATTTCAAGAAAAAAAAAAGAATCCTGTATCTCTCAAATGGCATAAGAGTGCAGCTCTTTTACCTTGGTGGTGGTGTGGGATGTCATTCGTCCTGCAAAAGAAGATTGATCTTGGATCCTGTTAATTGAGGAAATGGAGCCCACTGTTTCTCAAAAGCAAAAAGAACCTAAAATAACCTCTAACTCACCAGCATAAAGTACATTGAGGTCCTTGAATAAAGTATTATACTGAAGTATGAAGGTATCAGTGAGTTATTTGGAATGTGCTATATTTAGGACATGAATTTACAGTTTTGTGCAGTTCATGATCCCAAGTGCGTGCTGGGTGGAACTAATCTCTTACACAGTGCCAGACAGTGCCTGTTTTAGCAAATAATTTAATTCAAAACCTCTTTTGAATGTCAGCAGTCAGAATGAAAGCTGTAACGTATCCTGGAGATAGCATTTTAGAATGAATTAATGTCTTCACTGTATGGAGTCTGAAGTTTGCTATTTGAACAGTAGTTTGGGGATAACTAATTTCTAGTGTGTTAGTGGAGAAACAGTATCTGAACAGAATGCCTTAGCTTGTTGTGACATAGCAGACAAAATAACTGCAGCTGCTTCTGCTGTCTTTGGCAGCAGTGAAAGCTATGAGAGCAAATCCAGTGGTCCTTCTGGTACCTGCATCTCAGCCTTTACTTATACACAGGTGCCTCTGAGTTCTTGGGATGCTGTGAAATGAACCATACTGTCTATACCTCTTGTTTTACCAGTGGGAATTCTTGCTGTTTGGTTTACCCAAGGACTCCAGTTGGTCTGCTAGTACTGCATGTTTCTTGAGGCATTTGCTTCAGGTGTTCTGGTGTGTGCTCTTGTTCTTGGTATCTCACAGCTTTGATTGCCTCCATACTTTCATCATAGCTGTTGCTGAACTGTTGTGTTTTGAAAGAGGATATCTTGGTATATTTTTATTTTCCCTCAGCTCCGTAAGTCCACTGTGTTTGCCAGTACCCGTCCTCACTGTGTGTAGAAATAGTCATGTGAAAACATGCTGTTCAGACAAGTTTTCAGGCAAAAAGAAAAATCCTGCCCTGTAGAAACTGTAAAGATTTTGAAATACTACCTGGCAGCTGATGCTAGCTGGAAGGTTGGTTACAACAATATTGGGCTACAAAGAATGACGCCAGTGTAGGCGTTCAAGGTTGGGGACAACCAGTTGGAATTTGGTTTGGCCACCAGAACCAAAGAGTTGAAATTACTACATAGTCCTTAGCTTACCCACTGAGCCTAGATGCTGTAATTTGTATTTCAAAACTGTTTGAGATGATCTTTTAGTATGTGAGTGTGGTAAATGTTTAGTGTGCTGTCAACAGTTTTGCCTTTATTTTGTGTTGTGCAGCAGGCCAGTCTCTTTTACTACCTCCCATATGCATTGGTTAAGTACAATGTTTCACATAACAGAAAATGAATTATTGGCTATTGTGGTACATTTCTCCATGGCTGATTGCTCTTTTATGTAAATAATTGGCAGCATACATGCTGTTTGAATCCTACAGGCACATGTCAAGTGACATTTAGTCTAAGACTTAACATTTAGTCACAACTAACAAAATGTTCAGTCCTTTGCATGATGGGAGATGAATGTGGTAGAAGCTGCTGCTGTGATGCACACAGAAAGTAAACAGAGTAAATCTGTAATACAGTAAGAAACAGCCCTAAAAAGATCTGGACCAATCATTTTTTCATTAAATCATTAGAACTTCTGCCAAATTAATTTAATGGGGAAAAAAACCCAAACAAAACAAAAAAAAAACAGAAAACAAAACCCACAACCAAAAAAATAAAATTTAAAAAACTCCAAAAACAAAGCCATAACATATCAGAAAATCAGTCAGATAATAGCAGTGCACAGGCTGTCAGGTTAACTCTCATAAACTCCAGCTAACCAGAATCTACAGGCCTCTAACAGAAGCATATTAACTGTTTGTTTGCCACAGTTTCAGCTTTGGCAGCTCACCAAGAGCTCCCTGCAGACTTTCAGCTTGTTCTAAAAGAGGACTTTTTAACCCAAAAGAAATCTAGAGTATGTTTCTGCCAGTACACCAGTGTTCTAGCAACAGCTGTCAGAAGTAACCAGGGATATTTTGACTTCTTTTTCGATTAATGGCTTTAAAATGGAACTGCTGCGCTGAGCCTGTGCTTTGGATTGGAACTTCACATCCCCTGAGACCACTGGGATTAAAACAGAGCAAATTTTGGCAAATATGTTGCCTCTTAATCCCTTTCTATTAGGTTTATCTGTAAGCTTTCAGAATTGTAAAATGGTTTCCTATTAACCTTTGTCATCTTTTATTTAGGAGTTAAACCTAGATTGAGAATAGGGAGCAAAAATGTGTTTTGTCAAGGAAATTTCAAGCAACAAAGCAAGGCATTCTGGGCAAAACTGTTCTGTAATTGTTGCAGCACAGCATACGTTTGTTTTCCTTCATTGTTTTTCCAGGTACAAGTGTAGGCGAGAATAACTCCAGCTGCAGTAATTTTATGATCTGTATATCAATGTAAATATTCAAAAGCTTGTTTCAAGAAGCAGTTTAGAACAGCTTGCTAGGTCAGCTTTATTCCTGCACGATAGGACTGAAACATGCTGGTTTACTAGTCTTTTCTTTTTTGAGCACTTTGCTTAGCAAGTCAACAGCAATCACAAGTCTAGGGAATGATAATAGGGATAGGCTTATTTTTCAGCAGAATAATTTAGGAGGGAAACGTATGTCTACAGAGTCTCCTGAGTGTATTCCCAAAATGGAGATCACATTCACATTCAGGCTGGCCAAGAACTGTAATGCAAAATCTGAGGGATGAACACTTCAGCTCTTGTGAACTAACATTTGCATTGGTGGGATACTGAAAAGTGTTTGGTTATGTGTTAAAGTTGAGATGAGATGTGACTGGGGAGCTTGGTACCAGTAGTGTGCCAAGTATTACTTTAGCAATACAAATGAGGAAGGACTTTTGACTGGTCTGGGACAATCTCTTTGTCAAACCTCTAATCTCATCTGGTTTAGTAAAAAAGAATTATCCAAGCTACAAAAGGAAACACTCTAATTCTTAGTATGACTTTAACCAAGTGACTTGATTATTTTAAATCAAGAATATTGGTCAAAATAAGATGAATGATTCTACTGGGGAAAATCTAGTGTCTTTCTTTAAGCAGGTGAGGGTTAGTACAGCAGGACAAATCATCAACTCAGTGTTTCTGAAGACAGCAGTTTGATTTGAAAGGACTTTACAGGGGAATCCAGAAAACACATTCTCTTAGTTTGGAGATGAATAAATATCTGTTGTGAGCTGAGCATTACATACTGCCATAAGCTGCTGGTTTTTGTACAGAGACTGTTGTATAGTGGAGGCACTGACGCTATGGAACATCTATTTCTGATTCATGGGATTGCTATGTTTGGGTGGAAATCCATAGCTGGGGTTCTTTCTTGTCACTGGAAAACGGGCAATTTCCATGCTTCTTAGCTGCATTATTCTTTTACGTATCACAGTTGTCCTTTAAGTGACATGCTTTGCAGTTGGCAGAGTTTTTAGCTTGATAAATGGGGATCTCAGAGTTGCTCTTTGTCATCCTTGGCGTTCCTGAAAAAGAGTGAGTTTCTGTCTTGTGAGATGTTGCAAAGGAACTATGTAAAAAGAATCAACATTTATCATTACATACTTTCAGTAATTACAGAACACGTAGTTATCCTTTTTTTGTTTTAATGTATACACTTTAGGTTTTGAGGCATTTATAGGATTGCAAATTATGGTTTGCATTGGTCACAGCTGTTACAGAAGCACTGAACAATTGGGACTTCTGAAATGTGATCTACTGCTGCTTTAATAGTCTATATTGGTTGGAGTTTGCCTTTCATTCCCGACAGATTTGACTAATGTTCCTAGAAACTTGGTTTCTTTGAGGCTGATTTCCAGATGTAAACAGATCTGTAATGTCCTTGATATTCTGAGTTGGAAAGAACCTCAAATGCATTTCTGTTACACAGACAAGAGTGGCTAAACTAAATGCTTCCCGAAAGCGAAGCAGCCTAATCCAGTCTTGAATTAACCTTAAAACAGCCAGTTCATCTTGAACTGAACTTGGTACAGCTATCTGTAGTGATATCTGTATCTGTGATGGTTTGGTAGAAATCTGCTTCAGTGGGTTGTGCTATCCATGTGCTGTGTGTGATAGTTGAGGTCTTTGGTTTCCGTCACCTGGGCCTATAGGCCCATTTTTTCTTTATTTTTCTTTCCACGCTTCCTAGTCTGATCTGTGAGCCCTTGAAAACAGTACTCTTGGGCTAGTTCTTGCCAGGTCAGCCGAAGCAAACATGTGCTGAAGCTTTAACACAAGCACTGAGAAAGGTGACTTAAGTTCGCAGATTTTGTTTTGCCATGCAGTATCCCTTTTGACTTTCTTTTTGTCACTAGTTAGCAGAATACAGTCAGACTGACTATATTTCCACTTTGAGCTGGGGTATATGCCTGGCCTTGTGTGTTTTGCTGTCTTGGTATTTTACTTCAACTGTCTTAAAAACATATTTTCCTACAAACTGTCAATCCTTTTGTTTATTTTTAAACTGAAAGGGAGGTAACATACCATGCAACTAAAACCATCATCTTTATTTACTGTATGTCCTTAGTTTTCCTTCTGTTTCTCTTTGTGTTCTTGCTGTCTTACTCAATCAGCTCATGGGGAAAAAATGCTTTTCGTTTATAAAAGATCTCTAAGTGTTTTCAACTTTGTTTTGTTGCCAGCTGTGGGCGCACCAAAACTTGTATGCAGGAGGCTTTGTGGAAAATGATGTTGGTTATTGGCATAGGCAGGTGGGCTCTTTCTTCCCTCACACAAAATAAGTATTTGTAAAAAAGGTGAATGTTCTTGTTAGGGTCGGGTTTAAGCACAGATATTTTTACTGGATTTTTGTGGCATGTGTAGATAATTTACAGTAGAAGTTGGCTAATCTGTCTTTCAGTAACTTGTACCCAGTTACAAGAGAGGGAATTCAGGTTGCAAACAGGTTAGGTCAAAGGAGGTCAGTGCTTTGGAAAATCTCAATAGGGCTGCCATAACAAATCCCAGTTTGCCATAAGGCATTTAGGTCCATGGCAGGGACGCGCTTCTGCCAGTGACTTGCTGAGGAAGATACTTTGCAGAAGTATGCATGACTCCTGAAGTAATTATATTGCAAAATAATATTTGAGTTTATTCCAGATGGTTAACTGCTCTGTGATTTGACTGGCCTTTGGCCTGTCAGATGGCAGAACCAAAGCTTGTTTTACCCAGAAGCAAGGAATGTAACTTTGGATTTCCTCCTTAGAAAGCTGGTTATCATAGCCACATTGTCTTGCTTATGGTTTATAACTCTGTCCAGCATTTGTGACTAAATATTGCTGGCAGTTGAAAGCTGAGGGAGTGATACACAGCAGAAACTGATGTTACTTACTGTATGATGCTCTTCAAATGATAGCTTTAGTTTTCAGGATATTTATTGTCTGGTAGTTTCTTTTTACAAATGCTAATGTTTTTGAAAAGGCAAAGTATTTAATAGTAGGGAATGTATGTATCTGCTACCCTCTAAAACAGTGACTTTAACATGAGGTGTCTCAGTTGACAGAAAAAAAATCTCATGTTAAACTTGGTTAATGTAGGTGCTGAAGGCTTTGTCTTGTCATATTCTTAAATGGGATTTGTTCTTCTTCTCTTTCAGGAAATGCCCAATTCTGTCTTCTTGGTAATGGAGGTATATGTTAACATACGTGTTTCTTTCTGACTGATTATACGGGTGTTTTTTAGACACAACATTTTTTGCACAGCTGCAAAAGAACCATGACTTGTTAAAGCAAGCAGTTCTGAAAACTAGATTATTTACTTCCTATGCACTGCTAAATTAGCAGTGTTTGTTCCGTAAAGTATTCCATTTAATTTTCTGGTACTAGAAGTATTGATGAAGTCTTACATCTCAAACTATTAATTACAGACAATTGACAAAACAGTTTTAAGGCAAGCAGCTGAAAGAGGTCTTTCCATTTTCATTAAAAGATTACAAAGTAAAAAAATATAACAAAAGTTTCACTATTTGTGTTTTGAATAAAAACCTTTCTTTTTAACAGTACTGCAATGGTGGGGACTTGGCAGATTACTTACAAGGTAATGGATCAATGTATTTCCCTATTCAGAAGCTATTGCATTACATGCTTATATTCTATATTCCTGTAATCCGCTGATGTTTCTCTAAGATATTTTTGCTTGTCTTTTAAATATTTTTCTGTTCATGAAATGTCTGTAATTCCCCCATGCATGTTCACTCTGGTGTGATTTCTCAAGTCCTCTCTTTATAAATTCACCAAGAATCTCTTGAGTGTTTTATTCAGTCTCGGTGGAGGTCAGCAGCAGAGTGCTGTTTGTGTTTGTGTGCCACCCTGGTAACTTGAAAACTAAATTTTGAAGCTGCAGGGAGCCATAAGGTTTTTGCATTTGCTTAAAAATAGTGTGTTTAAATGCCACTCATAATTGAAATTCAAACCCACAATGTAGCAATGAAGGTGAATAAAATAATGCACAGGCAGAAACTGCTTTTGCCACTGCTTTTGAAACAGTTGGATTTAATATTTCCTTATTTGTAAATGAGGGAGAAGATGTAACTAACCATAAATAGCATGCTGAAAAATATGTGGTTTTCTATTACTAAAGTTGTGTTTTGGGGGCTGCTCCCAGTGTTTTGATTCCACCTGCTTTCTTTTCCAAGATCTGCACTTAAAAATACTGAATTACTTACATAATAACACTTTCTACAAGAGGCACTTCTGGTTTAGAAGTGATTTTGCCCTTCAGTGTGGCTCTGCCCAAAGGGAAGACACAAGTTACAGAATCATGACAAATTAGTTCTTACTCCAAACAAAATTTTGAGCAGAGATAGTAACCTTCCTATTTTTCTTGATGAAAATATTCTTCTACTTGCCTTTGTATCTCAGTATGTTGAAGGAATCTTTCTGTGAACAGCTATTGTTATGGTAACTGTGCATATTAAAAGCCTAATTCACTTCTCTTAAAATGCTTTGAAAGACTCATACAGTATAATCCAGCTCCTGTTATCAGTACTTTTTCATACTGCAGAGTGAGGTAATACCTTCTGAGGAGACTTTCAAAAGTACATCTTATTTTTTCCCTTCCAAATAAATTTTATCATGGATGAAATTTTTTTTAGCAGAGTGGTTATTTGCATCCCCATAATAATTTTCTAAAAAACAGGTTTTATGGCTTCAGGTTGTAACAAGACTGTAGATACATTTAATGTTCTAAACTGTGAAGTGCTTTTATTTTCTTGGCTCCTTTGCCTTTTTGGTAAGTTTAGGATTTAATGGTGATTGAGAGGCTTTTTAATTATTATGCTACAATGTTGAATAAACTATTATAAACCCAGATCATTGAGTACTGTAACTAGTGTAAAACTATGGAGATGTGTATGTTGTTGGGAGTATATACCTGTATAGGAAAGCACTAAAGACTGGAATGTTCTGAACGTCATTCACTATGGGTTGATTGTCTTCATTGTTCTCACAGTCAATCACTGAAGTTTATTGTTTTTTGCCCGAAGGTAATGATATTTATTTTCTCATCTGTTAATGTGTGTTATTTCCAGCTAAAGGAACTCTTAGTGAAGACACCATCCGTGTGTTCCTCCAGCAGATTGCAGCAGCAATGCGCATTCTGCACAGTAAAGGAATCATTCACAGGGATCTTAAACCACAGAATATTTTGCTGTCTTACGCCAGTCGTAGGAAGTCAAGTGTCAGTGGGATACGCATTAAAATAGGTAAATATGCTTTTCTCTGATGTAATGGTAAATTATCACTGTCGGGTTGTTTTCCTGCTCTGAAGTGTCTTTGTACTGAAAGCACAGAGGGTGTACTGGATATGGTGTGTATTAAATTTATGCAAATCAGGCAGTAAGTCTAGAATGATGAGCTTTATGCTGTAATACAGATTCTCAGTATAAGAGATAAGTAAATCTGCAGGAAAAAGAAACCTGTTTAGCTGATGTTTCTAGTATTAAGCTATTTTAATTAGACATAAATCTGTAACCTTTGAAACTTTGGGTAGCCTTTAGTCCATTTCAATGTGTGTGCATACAGGGATCCAGTCTCAGTTTCAGCTGAGGGTGTTTTTGTGGTAGACCCTCCTAAGGGTTATTTGAGAAGTTTAGAAATGCAGGTTTTGACCTATTTTGACAGAAGAAGGTTTGGCATTGTAAGTGGGGGGGAGATGTCAGTTGTTCAGGATACTACCAAACTCCTCTTCAGAGGACACTTAAGGCATTTTAACCTCTCCTTGTCTGTTAAAATGTCTATTTAAAAATACCTTCTTTTAAACAAGTTTACTTTCTGTGCTTTTGATCACTTGAAATCTGAGATCTGTTCCAACTCAATCCATCTTCTGAGCAGCACAGAGGAGACAAAACATCTTTCTTCTCTTGCTGTCCTTACTTGATAGTTTCAAATGCTTTTGACTACATGGAAAATTCAGGCACTGGAAACTTGCCTTCTTAAAACTTCTACCTGATGTGATTTGACTGAAGCAGATTATATATTCATCACTCTTAATGAACCATTTATATTTAGCCACTGACTTTAATCCTTTCCTGCTGACGCCAGACAGTATTCTCTGCAGCTGGGAGATGGTGGAGCAGCAGTTTGTGCAAACTATGCCACTGCTGTTTCTTGGCTTGCTCTTTGGAAGATAATACATTATTCTTTCAGTGGAACATAGATTTTACTGTTCCATGTAGTTAGCTATATATTATACGTGTCTTTTTTATCTCTAGCTGGTAATAGTAGCAGATTTCAGTAAGACAGACAATTTTTAGACTCTAAAATCTGAAAATTCTCTTTTCATTGACAAATGTGTTTCTTTATGTAGCTGACTTTGGTTTTGCTCGTTATCTGCATAGCAACATGATGGCTGCAACTCTGTGTGGTTCCCCTATGTATATGGTAGGTGACAGTATATTTCAGATTATGTTGCTTATCTCAAACATTCTCCTACTAGAACAAAATAATCTACTGCTTGCAGATTGGCAAATACCTAATACTGCTTCAGAAGTACTGGGGTCAGCATGCAGTTCACCTTTCCAGAGTTTTACTAGCGCCTGTTTTCTTGTGACGTGGAGATCGCAATTGTTCAAATCAGTCATTGAACATCCCTTAGCAACGCAGGGAGGAAAAATCTTGGAGAATTAAAAGGCAGTACATCCTAGCATTATTTTTTTTTTCCTGTGAAGTGGTTTCATTCCCACTTAATATATTTTTTCCCCCTGAAAATAAGGCAGTATCTCCTTTCCAGTTTCTAAGAAAATCAAAAGTGATCAAATACAGACTAGACGTTAAAAAGCTACTTGATGTTTCATTCTGATTATTTAATGTATTCTCACACATTTGGGGTTTGTTCTGTTTGGGGGTTGTCTAAAAATTTGAAGTTAATGGCTATCAATTTTTACTAAGTAGTGTGGTTGTTAGTTTTGAGCACTGAACTGTCGGACTTTGGCACTACCACTACTGTACTCTATGGTCATGGGAAGATATTTTGACTTTCCCTTGGCTCATTTTTGTATGTGTAAAATGGTGGTAATAATAATCCTTATGAAATGCTTTGTTATTTATCCATGAGGAGCTCTGCATAAACCAAGTAAATAACACTTGACCTCATATTCCATACGTGCTAATTGTTAGATGCTTTCTTTAGAACATAGCTTTCAGATAGAACTGTCACCTTTCAAGTCATGTGATGCAAATTAAAATGTTAATTTTGTCTTACAATAAAGTGGTCTCTGTTAATACTGCTCTGATAGAAGTGTAGAATTTGTATTGCTATGGCTTTGCTGTTCTGTTTTTCCCCTCTGAGACTTCGCTGTTCTTTCCAGGCCCCTGAAGTGATTATGTCTCAACACTATGATGCAAAAGCAGATCTGTGGAGCATAGGAACTGTGATTTATCAGTGTCTTGTTGGAAAGCCACCTTTTCAGGTAACACTTTATTTCCTTTTCCCTCTTTAATCTCATGGAAACTCCTAGGGCTTTTCCTTCCAGTCATGCAAACAGAAGTAAATACTGATACCTGGATGTAGCGTCAGTGGTTCAAAGTCCAGATTATTTGAGGATGATACCAAGGGAGAAGGTGCTCATACTTAGTCTGTGAGGTCCATGTGTTCAGTCCAGAGGAAATATATGAGGATACACAGAACTGAAGTTACTGCTGTGCTTGGGGTTTTCTTCTTCAATGCCTCCTTTTATATGCAAAAGCCTCCTTTCTGTGTATGTGTGCATAGGTACAAAGCTATTTTGTACATGAAACTGAGCTTTAATAATGTACATTTTTATTTGACAGGCCAATAGTCCTCAAGATTTGAGAATGTTTTATGAAAAGAACAGGAATTTGATTCCTAGGTATGTCACCATGGCCTTTTCTGTCACTTGAGCTTGTTAACTAAACACTTTTTCATCTTTGGGAATGCTTGGGATTCATAAAAATACTTGATGTTGCTCTCTTTGCAAGGATTTAGTATGATACCAGTGACTCATGTTCCATCGTGCCTTCGTTGTACCTTGCTGAATTGCAAGGGTTATGTGCTAAGGCTATAGAGCATGTATAGTGAAGGTGTAGGGACATGGCAGAATGCTGACTTTCTGAAATTTAATGTGCTATGCATTATTTAATGCATACATTAAATTTAATGCATGTTTTACTTCCTCTTGTGTGCAGTATTCCTAGGGAAACATCAGCTTATCTGGCTGACCTGCTGTTGGGTTTGCTTCAGAGAAACCAAAAAGATAGAATGGACTTTGGTATGTAATTTTTCCTTTTGCTCTCTTGACTTTCCTTGTTAGTTGTATTCATGTGACCAGAATAACACTCTTGACCTTTTGTCCACAGCCAATTACATGAAAAGTGAAGTATATTTTTCTTCTCAGTAATGATAAAGAAGGCAGAGTAGCCAAAATAAATCATTAGGTAACTACTGTCAGTTAGTATTAAGTAATGCATGTAAATAATGACTTTTTGTTGTAAGTTAGTTTAATGTTGTAAATTCATTTATTCTTTCAGTTGTGGCCTCCTCCCCCTCAGTATTAACAGATAGACCTTAAATTTCCTGTTAGTCTTTTATTTGTGTTACTTTCACTGTTTTTTCGTCTTCAGATCAGGAGCAGATATCTGATCTCCATGTGATGTTGGTTGCAGAAATGTAACAAGTACTGGCAATGAGAGATGTGATGTTACATCAAAATTGTTTATGTATGCAAATATGAGCTCCCAGTATTGCACTTGGGTATTGCCAACTGTGAAGACTTCTTTATTATAGTGAAGTATTTTTCACTGTTTGTAATCTTTTAAGCCCAAAAGCAGGAGTAACAGCAGTTGTATCTTTGTATTTTGTAAGGTCCTAAAAGTGACTGAAGTTTGCATACTGTTAGACGTTACTGCAGTGTCTATTTAGGACTGCATTTTGCATCAGTTGGGAAGTTAAACCTAGTACAAACTAGAGGGATACCCTCTTAACAAGTGAACTTGTTTGGCTCCAATTCACTTCTGTGTTTGTCTTTTTATCTGGAGATCTGTAGTTGCAGAACATTGTGCTAACTTCTTAAGATTTCAAGGTCTTGAGTCAGTACTGTTGAATCATTCAAACTGGCTGCAACTGTTGCCTCTTCAAAATTAGTTGGGAGTTGGGTTTATGTTTTATGTGTGCTTTGTGCTGGCTGGGTTGTTGCTACTTCAGTCTCAAAAAGCCTTTTTAATGCTGGGATTTTGGTTACCTGCTACTGAAAAAGTAGTAAGGCTTTTTACTTTTTTTTAATGCAAACTCGGGCGGCATTTGTTAAAGATTTCTCTTAAATCTTCTGTTAGTTCTTGTTAGCTGCATCTTGTATGTCACATTATACATGTTGATTGTTTAAACATTACAGCACTTTGTTACTGCAGTTTTACCATAGCTGCAAGGAAATGTTAATCTTAAAATTTTAGTTAGTTAAAGAGAACTTACTTAAATACAAGTATCTTTTTCATTATTATATATCAGTAGCAATGTGTTTTATTACTGAGCTTCATTTATAGCAACAAGACAGGTGACCCATCAAGTTTAATCTATGGAATGGCATGAAACAGCCTAAACCTCAAAGTCTTTTCATGTTCTTTGTAGATAAGGTGTAGCTCTTTCCTCATCATAAGCTATTAGTTCTTGTGATGCTGAGATCCTAGGGTGAGTTGCAACCCAAAGTAAGACATGCTCAATTCTTATTTCAGCTTATGAAACTTCACCATTGCTCTTCAGTTATGCATGTGAGCCTGCTTTTGACGCAGTACTGAAATACACAAATCAATTCATTCATCACATGTGGTCCTTGTGTATTTGTGATAAGACAACAATGTTTGTTAGGCTGTGGAAAGAGGAGGATTCAAAAGGCATTTTAGTTCTTTACTTGAAGCTTTGAAGATTTTCCTAGCTGCTTTTCTTTTCAACTTCTGCTATGTTTTGCTCCAAGAAATATCAAGTATTTTCTTTTTAGTAATTTAGATTTTAAAACATTAACACTGGCATAATTAAGGTGTTGCTCTTCTGAGAGCCAGGCATGGGGTTTTGTGTGTAGATGTGCCTGACATAACTCAGCTGCTGTATGTAAAAACTAATAGAATTCAGATCCAGAAAAGAAATCATGATAATTGAGTAAAATGTCCTAAATGACGACAGTATTCAGGGGTTGATACATAAATCTGTATGTCTAGAAGAATTAATATGTCACAAACATGGAGTCTGAGTAATTGAATCCACTTTGCACTCTGAGTGTGCTGGTCCCTACAGTTTCTTCAAACATGGAGAATTCACTGTATCATTTGTGGTAGTGGGAGAATGCATTTGTGCTTAGAAAGAAAAATAGAAAGCAGAAAGCTAGTGATGAAAGTCATGTTTTCCTTGGCTGAGCCACTTAAAGGGCCTCAAAGGGGCTGCTCTGGAATGTGCTTAGCAAAGGGAGTGAAAGGGAGAGTGTGTAACTGAGCCCAGTTGCCTGTTGTTAAAGTAAAAATAGCATTGGAAATCTTGTTGATCTTCCAGCAATATAAAGTAGAACAGCAGGTGTTGTACAAAAGCTCAAGAACACCTGATCCTCGTGTTAAAGTTAATCATTACATTGTTCTTGCATTACAGCTGAGCCTGCCTCCCTTATCGGGTCGTAGAAGAAAGTGTGTTGAAGGGAGAGGAGATACTGCAGGCCTCAGATTCATTCTTTTTTGCCTTTGTTATTTGCTTAGGTCTCATGAACAGCATTGTTTTTCCTCAACTGTTAGAACATTAAAGTTCATGAAGCTCGGCAGCTGGCTTCCACCAACCCTCAATTTCCCCTAACTAGCTGAAGGTTGCTCCTTGTAGAATAAAACTTTCCATGTAAACTGCTACTCAGCTGATTATTCCAAGTCAATTAAATGCACCTCAGCATATTCATTTGCAACAAAAGCAAAATGTTTCTATTTTAACAGTAACAGGTTAACTGAGGAAACTATTAGAGAAATTGTATAATAGTAGAGAATGTAGAGAATTGTTTAATTTTGCTTTGTGCTCTGAACCAGCTGCACAGGTCGTGTTCTGCTGTGGGGAGTGGGAAGGAGAGCGGCTGCTGCTCTGTTGTGATATTCAGCCACCTATGGAGTAGCATTAATGGGTTCAAAAATAAACATCAGCCCTTGGGAGAGGCAGAAGTGAAAATAATTTGTGTTTAATGTGAGAGATGCCTATTTTGAACAACAAATTCAATCTGAATTAGTACCATGTTTGAACATGGGAAACAATTTCATGAGTATAGGAAGGCTTCTTGTGCATCCTTAAGTGAAGTCATAAAATGTTCTCCAGTAATTCAGTCTGGTTTGCTTTGCTGGCCATTGTTTGAAGTTATTCAATTGATACTTGTTTCCTTTCCAAATCCTATAGCAACATATAACATAAAAGGCTTTAATCTTTTATAAGCTTTTCACCCTCTGGCTCTGAAATATTGATTCTGGGAAGGCAACCATTTATCACCATCTGCAGTGTAGTCTGTAAATTCTGTGTCATTTGTACATTCACTCACAATGGTGGTTGTTTCTTGTTCTACAGAAGCATTTTTCAACCACCCTTTCCTGGATCAGATTTCAACAGTCAAGAAATGTAAGTAGTTTTGGTTTTCCACTTGTGTAAATGATGAATGATGGGGGCTGGAAGAGAGAGAGATGTGCCAAATATCATGCTAAGTGTTTATGAGGCATTTTCCCGACTCTGAGTGTTGTTGTGCTCTATTGAAAGCCTAAGTGTTGAATCCTTTTTTGTATTATGTTAGACTGAAATGTGATACTTATTTACTAGTTCCTTTGACATTTCAACTGAACTTAAAATACCCTTGGTGTCTTTAAGGATTCTTAAAAAATACCCGTGTATGTTTAAGTGCTGTGCTTGTAAGCTATATAAGGGTGTATGAATGAAAAACTGAGGAAATGACTTTGTTTGAAATTCAGCTTTTCAAATTCTCAGTCCCCTGTTTTTTTTCCTCTGGGGTTTCCTCTTCTAGCTTGTCCTGTACCTGTGCCTACATATGCAGGCTCAGTCTCGGGCAGTTCCTGTGGTAGCTCTCCTTCATGCCGTTTTGCTTCTCCTCCAGTAAGTTCTCTGTTTTACAGAACAATCTCTAGAATGTATTTTCTGTAACGTTTAGCCCAGAGCTACTGAATGTTATCTTTCAGTTCTGTAAGAGCATGTTTAAGAGCATAGAGCAAGTAATACCTCTCTTCTGCTAGAATTCCATTAACATTTTTGTTTCATTTTTTTTTTTCTCTGTGTTGTATTTTATGGGTGTTGTGGTTGTCCTTTTTTGTTAAAGAAAAAAACATACACATATGAAATGCTAGAGTAGCAGAACTTTAAATTTGCTAATGTGATTTGCAACATAATTAATGTTACAGGTAATCTTTGAGTTGGTCTTTTTGGCTAAGGTGCATTATACTGTTAAAAACTAGTAACTTCAGTTTTATGTGGTATTCGGAAGAGGTGCATCTGTATCATCAGGAATAATGGAATAAACTTGATTTGTTTAAATTCACAACCTATTTAATATAGAACTGTCTAAATTGACACTACAGGGGTATTTTCAAATTCAAACACAGTTTGTATTTCTAAATATGTAAATCTTGGGCCTTTTTTTCTTACACTGTTTGGGGGTTTTGTGGGGGGGGGGTTGTCAAAGCTAGTGATGACTCTTACTTTAGAAGCTTCATATTCCAAAGAGCAATTCTAAATTCTGAATCACTGGATTTACAGTGTAGTTTTTAACTTTCTTTTTTTCCACCACCCCCTTCCAGTCTCTGCCAGACATGCAGCATATTCAAGAAGAAAATTTGTCTTCACCTCCGTTGGGTCCTCCGAACTATCTCCAGGTCTCTAAAGACTCTGCCAGTACCAGTAGTAAGAACTCATCTTGTGACACAGATGACTTTGTTCTTGTCCCACACAATATTTCTTCAGACCACTCATGTGAGTACCTTCCTTATTTTATACATTAAAACAATTCCCACTTGTAACATACCTTTATGTTCTGTTATTCTTTGTCTCTCTCTTCTCCAAACGTGTCAATCACATTGGAACTAATTTCTAGTTTGATTAATGTTTGAAGGGCAACTCTTTGGTACACCTCTATGTCCATCTGGGATGTTTTCACCTTCAGCTAAGTAGCCAGATATGGCAAAGATGCCAAGGGGATTGAAAGTCATGGAAAATATTGGGGTCTGGCAGTAGAACAAGAGTCAGCTGTAAACAACTGCTTATAAGAAGCCCAAGGATCCTCTTAGTGGAGACAGGCACTTTGTTACCTCCAGGCTAAACTGAACATTTATAGTCCATGCTGTAGAGTCGTAGATAATAAACAAATGCAGGAAAAACCATAAAAAAATGTTTACCATGAAAGGTGAGATGTCGGACTGGGCTTATACAGTAGAAAGACTTGGATGTAGCACATTACCATTTTACAATGTTGTCCAAACCTGAAGTGTCACTAAGAAGCCTCTCAGCTGATTTTTGTATAATGCCACTAACTTGTGGTAAATATTTGACCAAATTAGTGCCTTGATCTTTGAATCTTCTGTCTTTCCCATTTACACTTTTTTTGTTGGTGATCGCAGTTTATGGAAAACTTCTCTGTGTTCACAGAAGTTTGCCAGAAGTGGGTATTCCTACAACAGGAATATTGGAAATTTAATTTTATTTAAGATTCTACTTCATGACGTGGGTTTTCAGTGTGTTCTTCTGCTCACTGTAGATGATATGCCGTTGGGAGCAGCTGGCAGGCGGGCTTCGAGCGAGTTCTTGATGTGTGGAGGGTAGGTGTGCTGAGCTTTATCCAAAAGAAGTCTCATGTTCTAAAATTGATACTGCAGCTGTAGAAGGGGTTGCTGGGGGTTTGGCAGTGATGGGTTTTGCATAGTTATGTGGACTTTATCTTAAAGATTAATATGCCAAGTTAAACTTAATGTGAATATGTAAACAGCTTGAATTCAGAAAGCTTTGCTGCAAAGTAGTTTCTCTGATGTGAAGACCTGTCTATTGACAGTGGCTTTTGTCTTCATAGGCAGTCACCATTAACTACTTCTGGAAGCTCAGGAACTGTACAGAAACCATCCTCAGCCTCTTCTCGAAGTACTGCTTCTGGTACAGCTAACAGGTGTGTGATGTAGGCTTGAGGATTTCCTCTCTTTTGAAGAGGTCCTTTTCTAATGTATGGGTGTGTTTTTTAATTGTGGGTGGCTACTTTGAACTGAAATAGAAGCTAGACCTGTTTTTTTCCAGGCGCTCTACACTTAAATGCATTCTAAGAGCTGACAGTTGCAGAGCTAACTTGTGGTTCTGATGCATCCCGAAAGATTTCCTTAAGGAAAGGGAGCATTCTTTTTTCTGTTTAAATTTTGAACTAGTTGAAAGCAGAGACTTCAGAGACATAACTGACTTGTCTTTTTTGGTGTTACGAAGCACAAGCATAGTCCATTTAGTGGGTCAAGATGTTGAACACAGTGTACATTTTAAGAAGTAGTTGTGAGAGGAGAGGAGCTTGCTAAACCCAGATTGCCATGGATTTGTGTCTCATGGCTGGGTTGCCTTGTGTCTGGTAACTGGGTGCGGCTTCTGTGCAAGCAAGTACTGTAAATACTGTGTTTGTGTCTTGCAAGATACTAAAGAAGCCACATGAAAGAGCTAAACATGTACTACAACTTTTCCATCAGCAGGACTGTTAGTAAGTCCTCTTTCATCCACATGGTTGTAGACTGCAGTTCTGCTAGTTTGAAACAGAACTGATATTCATCAGTGGTGCCATGTAATATCTAAACCGAAGGATTAGATTTGTCATTTGACCAAGTAATGAATTTCATAATGTTTTCAGTGCAAATAGAAAGACGATGAGTGGCTAAATAGGGAATAAAGATATTATATTAGGTGTATTTTTGGCTTATGCTAATACTGCAGGGCCGCAAGTCAGCATTATTTGTTTAGAAATGCTTGTCACAAGGAAAGTTTGCTACTTTGTGCTGATCTTTGCGCAGTTTGTGAAATCTGCTGACATGGGCTATCAATACAGCTTTTAGTCTTACCTTTTATGTTTAAGGGCAGACAGTGGGGGTGGTTTGTCTGTAAAGATCCATTTGCTCTGGATTGGCTGTGTACAACATATTAGAAATACATTGTCATTTCCTATTTTAAACTGTGTCAGGCGTCACAGTTCTTAGAGTTACAGGTTTTATGAAAACATGTCAGTCATGTTGTCTGTACATTACTAAGCTAAGAGCTAAACAGTCGTGTGACTAGAAACAGGTGCCTACTGGTCACACTTTCAGTGTCTGTACTGTAGTAGTTTGATTTAATTATTGGTTGAGTAATTTCAGTAACTAACTGGCTGTTTGGAGCATGGTGTGAAGGAAGCAGCATGTCTGATAGTCTGCAAGGCACTGCTATTGGTTTTTTATTTCCTGAAAAATGTTCTTTTGTTGTGTGGTTTGGTTATTGTTTGATGGGGTTTTTTGGGTGGGAGGAAGTGGTGTAGGTTTTTGTTTTGCCTTTTACAAAAGGTTGTGCCCTGTGAAACAGTGATTGGCTCCTCAGACTATGGGAGCAAATTGCACCCATAGTTATGATACTTTAAGTCAAGTAGAAGAAGCTGTAACGCTTCTCAGACTCTAGCCAGAATGGGCAGAATAGGTAGAGGTGGTTAATTGCTAATTTTATTCTCTGGCTCTCAGAGAAACAAGATTTGCATGCAGCACTGCACACATCTGTATTGTGTCTTCTGTAACTAGTAACAAACCACATCAGACTGAGGATGCTGAACCAGAGTTTAGCCTCGGGGCTGAGCTGGGGAGCCCTGAGGCAAGGCCAAATACTGCACCATGCTTCTCCACCATACTGACACAGCATTGCTGCCTGCAGTTTGTTCACAGAGCTTGCTTGGATATACCTGCAGGGCTGTGTGAGAGCAGGGGAAAGCGTTTTCCAGGCAGAGTATTTTAAAAGTCGAGGTGTCTTCATAGCATCCTCAGTGTCACTGCCACAGTTTAAAGAACATTTGCTTCCCTTTTTCCAGAGGTCAGGCCTAGGGAGCCTCCGTGTGCTACCTCAGGGTCTTGTGCTAGTCATAGCAAGCTGCCTCTGCGTGGTTCCCACTTGTGAAACCTTCCTCTTGTGTAGAAGCTTTTAGGCCTTCCACTGATTGTGTGCTCATGAATAGCTTCCAAATTACTCTCTAGTGTCTAGAAACTGGGTGGGAATAAAAGGACAAAAGTTTGGGTGGTTTTTTTGTTAAGACAGTTCCATGTGTATTAGCAAGTAGCATTTCATTCTCAGAGGCAGCAAAGAGAATAAGGTAGTCAAAAACCCAGATTCCTGTTCAATGCCATGCAGCCTGATAGAACTTTTTTTCCTTTCCACTAAGAATTTCTAATCTTTCTCTGAAGAGGTGGTCAGTAAAGGACCAGATATTAGAGTGATTATCTTCCAAAAAGCCAGTTAATTTGAAATTCTTTCCATTGAATTCTGTCTTCCTTTGAAAGTATTGGTAACTGATTACACTGCAGTGGTTTGATTCCCTTATCAGATGGTATGCTGAGTAAGCCAGGTCACTGACACTTGAGTTGAACTTGGGAAGTGCTAATCTGCAGTTTGAGTCTGTGGTTTAATGTTCAGGTGTGTGGTTTTGGTCATTTTGTCAGGGGTTGGTTACATAACATGTTTTCCTTTCGCAAGTTCATGTTGTCTCTTGGGATATCTTTGTGCTTTAGTGGCTTTTGTACACATTCCAGCCCTGCTGCTGAACTTCCTGTTCTTAGTGTGGCAGGTTTTCCTAGAACGCTATTTTGAAGCTTGGTAAACAGAACAAGCAGACTGGAAGGAAGTCAGAGGGATCTCTGGGATGAGTGACGAAGTGCTTCAGTTACTTCTGCACTCTCAGCTTGATCTGATACTGGCCAGTATAAGAAAGGCAGGTAGTAATGAACAGTTCTCATCTTCTCTGAAGTATTAGAGCTAGATTAGGTAGGACAAGCTGAGATCATACTGAATACAGGGAGTGCAGAAGCAGCTTACTTGCCCATTTCCTGGATTTTCTTGTAACTTCATCAGTGGTACAGTTCTGAGAGGGACCTGTCCATCTTTATTCACCTCCTGTCTTCACACCTTCTGTCTTCAGGCATTGTCAGCCTTCGGTATCCCCCCGCAGCGAAACAGCACCGATCCCAGTTCCCACTCAGCTGCGGAATTACCAGCGCATAGAACAGAACCTCTCCTCTACTGCCAGCCCCGTGTCAAACCCCCACGGATCACCAAGGTGAGTCTGGGGGGTTTAAACTCCTTCTTCTTGGTTCTAGTTTGTGTTTGTACCTTGTCAGAGGTCCATGCTTTCTAGCTGATGTCATTTTTTGTTCTGCACAAAAACACACTAAAGACACTTTAATGATAACAAATAACAGTCCTTCACAGTCTCAAGATTGTTGGACTGGCACTGGAAATTTTTCATAAAAACAAAAGGAGCTTGTTTTTTCACTCAACTCAAGAAGGTAAAAAGATGAAGTCTTGCTTTTTATTCCTCTTTGTGTATTACATGGCATTACATTATAAACTAGAATGTCAGTAATAAGTTATGTTTTGTTTTCATATATGTAATGATGAGGTGAATGCATTGTTCTGTAGAATATCAAGGCATTTTTGTGAATGCTAGTTAACCAGTTTGTCTATTACAAAGCTCTAGTGTGCCAGACTTATTGTTTGCCTTGTGGTCTACAGAATCTGGATGGTGAAGGTCAAACAGACTGCTTGGAACTCTGGAGATCTTTACAAAAACAAACTTGTAGTTCCTTGCATGTTTTTTTAAGGATCTCTGATTTTATAGTAGTTGCTACACTTGGGAAAGTGCCGTTCTCTTAAATCATCTGGTTTTAGTTAACCCGACCTGTGGACCTGACCCACTATGAAAACTGTCATAATCTTTGTTGGCATAAAAATGAGCATTTGCAGCAATACATTTCACTTGATTGTAAAACTCAAAATTTGATGACTTGAAAATCAGGAATCCATGTACTAAGGGATATCCAGTTTAATTTCTCCAGTTAACAGACTATTATGGCATTGAACGTTAAAAAGTCAATGTTGAACAAAGGGAATTAAATCTTGTTTGTTTTCAGTATGGGAACCTTAGCTTAAGTTAGTAGCTTAATAAGCTTTAATGTCATAGCTTTCTCTATAAATGTCAGTATTTTCTTTATCTGATATACTTCTTAGGGGATTCTGAAGCTTATCTCAAGGAACCACGGTTACTGCAGTGTGTGTAACCAGTCTTTTCACCTTGTTAGAGCTGGAGTTGTGAGACGCTCAAATACCAGCCCGATGGGTTTCGTGAAGATGGGCTCCTGTTCTCCAGTGCCAGCTGACACGGGTGTTGGGCGCAGGTTATCCACAGGATCTTCTAGACCCTATTCTCCTTCACCACTAGGTAAGCCCATAAATTCTTAGCAGAGAAGGTAAAGGTTTATCTGGAACAGTAATTCAGAACACTTAATTCTTGAAATTATCTTAAACCAAAATCCACCCAACCAGGTCACGTTTGCAGAAGTCATTTCTGTTAAATGACTCACAGAAGTGAACTAACTCAATTTTATTTTGCTTTACCTTCATCTGTAGGTGAAGTATAAAGCATAAATTCATATTTTTATTTTGTTTGCATAGTTGGAACCATACCTGAGCAGCTTGGACACTGTTGTTGCGGACAGCTTCAAGGACATGAATCGAGGAGTAGAAACTTCTCAGGTGAGTGACTTTGGACAGCATAACCACTACTGTTTTGATAGAGCTTCTAAAGCTTTTTATGAAGAGAGAGGAGAGCCAACATTACATTAGTATGGGTTAATAGGAGACGTTGGGTAAGCAGTGCACTGACTTTCTGTAGAAACTTAGCCCAGTTGTGGCAGAATCAGGACACCTTTCCCCATAACTGATTCCCTACGTAGTAAAGGGGTAACTAAAATTTCTTTTTCTTGAGATAAAGCAACTCTGGTAATGCCTGTCTTGAAACAGGGGTGGAAGTGGATAGATTATAATGAATGGGAGTAACATACTTCTCAGAATCTGGTTTTGATAGACCAGATCTGTTATGCCAGCCCTCAGAAAAGGGAGGGAGAACTGCCAGTGTACAACATGCAACACATTTTCGTCATTCCCTTGGAAGTTGACTGGGATCTGATGTTAGTGTTGCTAAGCATTCAGTAAGCCTTACAAGTCATAAATTATGGCATGCCAGCAGGAGAAGGGAAAAAAAAGATCTGGGAGAAACAGGACTTGTTTTGAGACTGTTAAAGATGGAATTGCACTGTAATGCCAGAAGGATTGGGCATAAGAATATGCAATTCAGCAACACATTCTGCTCTGTGTACATTTTGGGTGCATTTTTTTCTTCTTCTTCTAAAATACTAGTTACTCTCTTTAATTTGACTTTCTAAGCCTTGGTGTTGAAACTATATTATGGGGTTTTCCCCTATTTTAAACGCTTCCCCAAATCATCTGGGGATGAGCCTTCATTTCTTGGAGTAGCCATATTTCATATCTGAGAGTGATTTCATCCATAGGAGACATTCTGTAACATGTCTTAAAAATTGCCTTCCTAATTGCTGTGCCATTGTCAATCTCAACAAAAGGCAAGGAATAAGTGAAGCCACAGATTTTAAATAGTCTCTTCTCTTAAAAAAGAAAAGGGGGTAATGTGAAGAGAATACAAAGCAATGTGTATGTTTGTTGCATCTTTTCTTTGGGTAGAATTTTGTAGGGCTTTTGGTTTTAGTGCCTTTTGCCAGTATCAAACTGACTTGTGACATACCAGAGCACTGGTTTTATGGCTGTAAGGTGGTGGGGTTTTTTTTAATGTTTCATTTTTTCATGTATTTCCTTCATTCTTTTCCTACTTGACTTTGTATCTTAATTTCAGATGAATGCAGTGGTATTTCTATTTGTAAAATACCACAAATTGCAGTGTTTAAATGACTGTGGGAAGCTGCCTTTTGCTTCTGGGTGACAGGAGGTCATCTGTACTGAGATTTTCTAAGGAGTGAAGATGTCTGTCATAATGTAGCTTCTAAACTAATTGAGCTGCTTCTGCTGCCAGTGACAGCAGTGGACAAACTTCTAATTCAGAAGCCATGGTGGCAATGACACTAGAACATTAAGCAGTGAGATTTAAAATTGGTTTCTAAAGTGACAGGTGAGGACTTTCAGTGCTATGAGACAGACAAGCAGAGGGATTTCAAACAAATAAATTCTTGGCTGAGAAGTTAATGAGAAATAGACTTGATCTTCACTGGAGCGGTAAGCAGAAAGGCTGTTCTAAAACATGCTGTTTAATGGCGTGGAATGAAATAAAGTAGCTCTTATTCAAAATGTAACTAGCCAAAAGCACAGGCTTAAGAAGGTTGAAAGAGGACTCGACAGCTGGACACTTTACTGAGCAAACTGCAAGAAGTTTGTGATTTTCGTTTTTCTTTTCTGAGCAGGCATTTAGGAAACAGGGCCTGTTTCAGAAGATTGTCTTGGCCAGCTCTTAAACCTCTTACACAGTTAATAGGGTTCATTTTCAGTTTTGCCTTTTTTTTTAACATGACATTATTATGTTTTTAACATGAAATTGTCACTTCAGTGTCAGTTCTTTGAGGTTACTAAGATGGGCATTTTATCTGGGACACTGGCCATAAAGCTAAAGTCTGATGTCCTGTTGCAGAGTTTCTCATCAGAGACATAAAAATACCACACGGAATGTGATCACATTTCAGGTTCCTTATTTTGAAAGAGGGGAAGGGCACTTTTTGGTGGGTGAGATGTTCTTAAGAGAGACTTCCCCGAAGCCCTCTATTTAGATGACTGCTTATAGCTCTTCCGTTTGTTTTAGGAGAAACTTTACACTTATACTAAATCGTGGACTTGCTTTGTACCTAATAAGCTTTTGAAAAAGATTCACTCTGACAGAGTAACAAATAGATAACTACCCAAAGTAATGATCCCAAACTGTTCTATTTGAATAACGTAGTTATTTTTAGTACTTAGTTTTCTTGCAGGAACCATGAGGTGAGCTGCCTTTTGTGTCTGCAACTGAAGTCACTATGTACAAAACAAGTCACTAACATGTAATGTCGCATTCACACGCTTGTTTGTACAATTACAATCCCAGTACTTGAGAACCTCTATTCAACATAGACCCTTGATGGTGAGACATTTCAAGCTGCACTTGAAATTTCAGTATTGGTTATGCCATTCCTGCTGAATCTAACCGCTTTATTTGTCTTGATCGAGGTTGCCAGAGGTACTGCAGTTGCCAGTACAGCTGTCACCTTGAAATTCTTGCCGATTTGGCAGCTTAAACATCCAAATAGCCAACAGGCTAAATCCGTTCTTGCCAGCTAGGGAGTTAATGATCAAACACAACTCACAATATTTGCAGTCCCATCACCTCGCAGTTTAATGTTGATCTCTGGCATTTTGGGCTTTGTTGATGTGTTTTCCAAGCACTGCAAGAGGAATATTACTTCATTATCTTTCATCCCCACAGGTTCTCCAATACCACCATCTCCGTCTCCGCAGTCACTTCTGATGGGAGCAAGGTTGCAGAGTGCGCCTACTCTCACAGATATTTACCAGAACAAGCAGAAGCTCAGAAAGCAGCATTCAGACCCAGTATGCCCATCCTATGCTGGCTATGGATACAGTCACTCTCCACAGCCAAGTAGGCCAGGTAGCCTAGGAACATCGCCTACCAAACATATGGGATCATCACCTAGGAGCTCAGACTGGCTGTTCAAAACCCCATTACCAACAATTATTGGCTCTCCTACTAAGGTTTGTTAAGTTTGCCACTGTCAGTAAAATGTGGTAACACACTGCCTGAAATCATTCCCAGTAATATTTTGGGGGTTCTAACTTTAGTTTTTGTGTGTTTTTGGTCTTGATTCTTAAAGGCAACTGCTCCTTTCAAAATACCTAAAACTCAAGCATCCTCAAACTTGCTGGCCCTGGCTAATCGCCAGGGCTTGGTAGATCCCCCACTGCAGCCTAAAGACATCACTGACCCAAGGGATTTCACACACTTCCACTCAACCCAAGGAGGTGAAAAGCAGGCAGGAGAACAGCACAGTAAAACTACCTTTGGCAGGTAGGTATTGTAGTGTTTATAACCTGTAAAGCTGGGTAGGTAACTTGGCAGAAGAATATACGTTGCACACAGCAACTTGGAGGGGAAGAGCATGCAAAAAGTGAGCTGTGAGGAGATGCTGAGGCTTGATGTATACAACAGAAACATTTTGTACTGTGTATAAATATAGCATGGACTTCCTGAAGCGTTTTGTGTTGCTGTCTAGTTCTCTTTCATTTTGATTATCTGAATATGGAATTTCATTGCCTCTTTGAAGCCTGCTCAGTTTTTGCTTGAAAATGTATATGATAAAATTTGCAGTATATTTTTTTAAGAGAAAAGTTGTTTTTATAGTTAGTTAGCTATTGTTTTTATAGTTAGCTCTGCTTCAGTAGGTCCATGATGAACAGCAAGTTTTCAAGCCTTTCTGTACTTTGAAGAATTCCCTCTAATACCAAGAATCTGAAAGTCATCCTTAGTTGCAGGTTAGGTAGGAAGATCTCACTGAAGAACTTTGTTGTAAATTCATAACATTTTTCTGCCTAGGTCTGTTAGTACTGGGAAGCTCTCAGATCAACAGGTAAAGACTACCCTTGGTGGCCAGTTATATCAAGGCAGCACAGACAGCCTCAATACGGAGAGACCAATGGATACAGGTAAGAAACAGATGGATAGATGCAAGCTTTCATGTGCTAGGTTTTTTATGGAGTGCCAACTAGATGCAGTTCTGCTTCCAGCTTCAATAACTGGCTCTGTCAATTTTTAGCCTCAGTACAGCAGGGTGGTTTTTTTTCTTCTAATCTTTAAGAGGGGATATGTTCCATTTCTTTAACATAGCTTTAAAAATAACAGAGACAGGAAAATAGCTATTTCTGTGCTAAACAGAAGTATCTTAACTGCCTCTACTGGCTAGAAGGGTTTGTGATTTTTTTCTATGTTTGGTTTTATTTTTAATCCCACATTTTGTGGTTGTTTCATTTCCCAATTACACCCTGTTTTCATATGAAAGACAGTTTATGTAATTCTGGGTCATTTCTTCTTTTTTCTCCTCCCTCCCCCAGCTTATCCCTTGCCACAAGTGGCCAACAGAAGTTCTCACCTTGTTTTTGAGCAGGTGGAAGGAGTTCTGCAGACAGGGCTGGTCTTCAGCCTGCAGACCTGTCATGGTCTGTGCCTGAAATTTTTCTGTTGTATCTTTTGCTGCAAGACTGGTGGTGTCCTCAGGCTCGCAGAGAGCCTCTGTTGCTCTTTTCTAGGTGAGATTAGAGCAGAGAGGCATTAAAAGATACGTGTAGGCTGCATCTTGTCTCCTGTGTATCATCAAGGCTGTCCACTCAGCTTGTTTTATTTGCTGTCAGAACTTCTAACTAGTCCAAATCTTGGATCTGCATCCAAGCATGTAGTGCTGCAGTGCTCCAATTTGTTGCACGTAATTACATAATTAGGGACTAATTTGCTGAAATTCTCTTTTCCAGCTCCAGCAGGGGCCTATGGAATTGCAATGGCACCTCCTTCCATGGGAAGCGGGGCAAGTTCTCGGGCTGTCATGTTTACTGTTGGGTCCCCTCCAAGCAGCACAACCCCTCCTACCTGCACCCATATGGTCCTCAGAACAAGAACCACCTCAGGTAAAACTTCCCTTACTAGTCTGGACTGTTCTCAAACACAGTATTTGGGCTTGCCCAATTCTTGGGCCAGTAACCTGATTACTGTCTTGCACAGCAGGTGCAAATCCTCTGGGCCATAGTGTAAAAGTAGTCTTTAAAGTAGAGATTAATGTCAGATGAATTCTGCCCTTTTTTTCTCCTAAAGAGATGGTGAGAGGCATAGATTTACAGCACAGGAGCGTGTAACCTGTGTATACAGCTTTACTCCACCACAGGAAGTGTAATAGATCTCTGTGACAAAGGTGGAAAGGCAAAGTTGGATTTCTGATTCTGTTTTTTTGCCTGCTGCTGTGCATTGCACCAGAAACAGCACGCAAGCAGTATGAGCTGACTGTATTTGGGCATGCATCAGCTATGTTGCCAGATATCAAAGACCTCAAGGTAAAGGCTATCATCTGCTCAGGATGATCAGGAGTGTGCAGCACTGTGCTTTTGTGAACTATAGCACAACCTTCAGTCTGTACTGTTGGACTCTGCCTTGGAATCCTTGTCAGCCATTCCCAGAATCTGTGTTATCAGTTGTCACTGTTCATTGTGGTGTAGCCTTTGCATTCTCCACAGACTGATGTAAGGAACGATCAGGAGAGCTTCCCAAGAGTGAATCTGTGCTGGCTATTGATTTGTCATTTGCAATCAACTGCAGCCCCAGTGCTGCAAGATGGAACAGCCTATTAGACTGAATATGTGTGTTGTTTTTCTTGTAGTTGGATCAAACAGTTCTGGAGGGTCTCTCTGCTCTACTAGTGGCCGTGTATATATGGGCTCTCCTCCTGGTATTTATATGGGTTCTTCTCCTCCGGGAGCCGAGGCAGCTCCAAGTCTGAAGTACATGCCTTATGGTACTTCGCCTCCCAGCTTAGAGGGCTTTATCACTTTTGAAGCTCCTGAATTGCCTGAGGAAACTTTAATGGAGGTATAGAAAAAAAAATAAAATTAATGTTTTATAATGTGTAATGCTGCTAAAACAGAGACATGGTAAAAACAGGACCGTTCGGTGCACTTCCTAGCTTCCTCTTCACTGTCTCACATGTTCCTTTATAAGATCTTGAAAATATTCCTGTATCAATAGTGACCAACTTCTCTTTAGTCATTATTCCTGGCATATTATGTATTTGAATAGGTAACCAAAGGAAAATGGTTGCTTTTGTTCACCAGAGCCTTCCAAAGAGGCCTCTGTTTTAATGCCAAGTCTCTGGACGTGGGTGCTGACAGTAGCAATATCCCTCTGGGCATTGCTTTTAGCTGCTGCTTCACAGTCGGTGGATGACGTTAAATCCTACTTGTGGGAAGAGTGTCCTATATAGTTTTTTTTAATGTGTGGAGGAGTGACACTTTAAAAACACAAATCGGGGCGGTCTTTCACCAGACTGCTATCCTTAGGCTGTAAATTTCTCAAGACAGATTGCTGTTCTGTTTTCTCATTCACATCTTGCTGGAAAGTGTTTGGGTCCCTGTTGAATCTATTGACTGCTTGACAGCACACTGTATTCTTCCCACAGATAAGAGTTAAAATGAATTAAGATCTGTATTACTAATTAAAAGATTATAAATATTGCTAAGACATGTTTCATTAGTTTTGAAGGCTAGTAACTTGGGGGTTTTTTGAGCAGAGACTATGCACGTGTTATGTATTTTAGTCACCAAGAAGCAGTTTGGTATTAGCTCCAATTGAAGCTGTTTAGTTTAAAATGTAAACTTTGGGTTTAAACAGCCACCTTTTAACACAGTATAATTCTAGATCTAATTGTAAATTAAAAGTGAAGCAGATAAGTATGAAGCTTTAGATCAGTTCTTTTGTAGGTATCAAGTCTGTTTAATAAAAGCCAAATGTTCCTCTTGGCTTCTCATACAAGTGCTGAGCATACTTCTGGGTTGCTGATAATATAATAACAAGTATTATGTCCCACTTGTGATTCCTTCAGTTGCTTGGGTTTCAACAAACATAGAACTCCATGTCCCAATTTCTTTAGCTTTTTTGAAAAACTCTGAAGTATAAGCTACAGTATCTTGAAATTATCAACAAAGAACAAGTTAATACCTGTTGATTTGGACCCATTTGATTCTGTAGTTCCTACTTCTGGCTCTACTGCAATGTGATTTATGCATAGAACTGACATACCAAGAAACCCTCAAATGATTAGCAAGAGTTTTAAGTGTACTTGTTTGTCTTCGGCTTAATGGTTAAATTATTGTCATCTTTCCCTCTGACAGAGAGAACATACAGATACACTACGTCATCTAAACATGATGCTGACATTTACAGAATGTGTTCTGGACCTGACAGCAGTGCGAGGAGGAAACCCAGACCTGTGTACTTCTGCGGTATCACTGTACCAAATCCAAGAGAGCATAGTTGTTGATCAGATCAGCCAGCTAAGCAAAGAATGGGGGTAAGTATGAGGTCAAATAGTATTAAGAGAACTAGTGAATACCGAATACATCCAAAATGTATGCAAACTATGCTGGTATTGTTGAGAGTGATTGTTTTGCTGTCTAGAATCTTCTATAGGAGTAATTTTTAGCAATGAAGACAAATGAGAAAGAGCAAAGGATAGAGAGACATTTGCTAGCAGACAAATGCAAAAGTGTTTTCTAGCATGCCACATAAGTTGGGGAAATGGTAAAGAGTTCAGGCTTGAGGTACAGCCCTGCATTTTTCTAACCTTAGGAGTTTGTGTACCAGCTTCTGTCAGATCTGAATCCTCATCTGTTTGTGTTGACCAGGCTGAAGCAGTAGCACTGTGGTGGAGGTAGGGAAAGAGGAAGGAGTGTCCAATTTTGACCTTTTTTTCCAGTGGGACTGATCAGCCCTAATACAAAATCAAAGAGAAATACGAGAATTTTGGAGTGGTGGGAAAGGGCAGTTCCACTTCCTGCTTGCTTTCTGCGGGTGGGGGGGGGGGCAAACCCAACAAAAATGCCCTCCAAAGTGTTTGCTTTTCGCAGCTGAGACTTCCAGGGGCATAGGAAATGACACTGCAAGAAAAGTACACCCAGTCACTTGTGGTAGGACATTGACCTCGGGCATTTAGTCCTCATAAATAAGTGTTCTTTTTTAAAATGTCTGCATTAAAGCAGTTTGTATTTGCTGCTGCAGCTACTAGATGAGCAGATGTACTCTTCAACCCGTGACAGCGTGTTTGTGAAGGGAAGGGAGGGGTGGAGTTGCATTTTAAACATCTGTCTTCCTCTTCTGCTGCTGCTGGGTCCTGTGTAGGGCTGTGATTTAAAGTGATGTCTGCCTGTGTCTTGAATGTGTTCAAAAAAGGTGTGTTGGTACATAATTACTTATTTTTCCCCCCCTCCCTAGACAAGTGGAGCAGCTGGTGTTGTACATGAAAGCTGCCCAGCTGCTCGCATCTTCGTTGCATCTTGCCAAAGCACAGGTCAAATCGGGGAAGCTGAACCCATCCACTGCTGTTAAGCAAGGTAGATGCAACATAACCTAGTTTGCTTTGCTTGTGAATTTTCTTTGCTGATAGGTCACTCAGAAAGCTTAAATTACAACATTTGTTTGTTTTCTTCAGTGCAAGAGTTACTGTATGATTGCACAGTTCTGATAATAAACAAAGGTACAGCTAAAAAATACTAAGAAACGGGCAGTTACTAACTTGAAATGGAAATTATTTCATAGATACGTAATTTGTAGGAGTGGCAGAGTAAATAAACATTAAAAGCTCAAGTTTAAACAGATGACTTTGCTAGTGCTGGGAAGAGCTGAACTTAGGCCATGTTGTTTGCTTGTTTTATTTTGTTTTAATTTCTTCTTACCTTTCCTCCAGTTGTGAAAAGCCTCAATGAGAGATACAAGTTCTGTATTGGCATGTGCAAGAAACTGACTGAAAAGTTGAATCGTTTCTTTTCGGACAAGCAAAGGTTCATTGATGAAATCAACAGTGTAACTGCAGAGAAACTCATCTACAGCTGTGCTGTAGAAATGGTAAGTTACTCCTTTTACCTAAATGATAGGACATCGAGATTAATTGCTTCCTTCTCTCTGCATCACCAGAAAATAGAATGTATGTTTCCAGCATTCTGTTCATGGTAATCTCTGTTAGTTTTTCACTCTCTATCCTGCCCTGCCTTAACTGTGGCTGTAAAGTTCCTGGCAGATACTGCTCCTAAGGGACATTTCTGCTACATCAGCACATTTAGTGCAAAACCACTAGGAAATGAACTCCTAGGCCACACAGCTCTGTGTGCTGCAGTCTCCTCCAACAGGGCTTAGTAAAGCACAGAAGCAACAGAAGTACCTTCATCGATCTACCAGGTTAATCTGAAGAATATCAGCCTGTCCATACAAAGCAAAAACAGTAGAAAAAATGTGGAAGTCTTTTTGTGTAATTGATAAACTTTTTATCCGTTGTGGAGCAGAGGCAGTAACCACACAAGGAACTTAACTGTTTTTTTTTATGAGAGGGAAGTCTTTTTAACACAGGTGTCACACACAGGACAGTGGCAAATACTGTGGTTAACTCTTATAATGGTGCGGTCATGCACAATTTGTCTTCTTTACGAGAGAATGCAGGTGTAAGAACAAGCTTATTTATTCCTGTGTTGTAACACATGTAAACCAAAAAGATCAGAAAGTGCTGTTATAGTTTATATGTGCAGAATACCCTTAGTTAATACAGCACAGGTGCTGTATTCTCTCAAACTTTGTTTTGTTATCTCACAGTTATAAAAACAGATCAGCTACATTAAGGTTCAAAAATCATTCCATTTGAGTTTTTCGTTTCATTATTTGCCTGACACAGTCTGTGTAACTGAATCTTCTGAATGATTGCAGGTTCAATCAGCAGCTCTGGATGAGATGTTTCAGCAAACTGAAGATATTACGTATCGATATCACAAGGCAGCCTTGCTGCTGGAAGGACTGACTAAAATACTACAAGACCCTGCAGATATAGAAAATGTACACAAGTGTAAGTTTAGATTGAATAATGAAAATCTTGACAACTGCATGGAATTAATGCATTGTAAAATAACACTGGAGTCATCACCTATTTGTCACCTCTCTCTGCAGATAAATCTAGCATCGAGCGAAGGCTTTCTGCACTTTGCTGTAGTACAGTGGCTGTATATGAGCAGTAGAAATATCCCAAGGACCAGATGGTGTGAACATACGGGACCACATCAGTGATACTGCACTTTTTTCACTGCAGCTTAATTGTTGTTCTTGTTCTGCCCCATGTGGAAGATGATTCTTTCATTTCTGTGGTGACTACCAAAGAAACAGCAGCATTACTCAAAGAGGAGATATTCCAAAAGTACACTTGCCTTACTGATCCAGCAGTTCCTTTTTCTTCCTAGCAACAGAATTTAAGAGTCTCTCTTCACATTTCAAACTGATGTTTGTACGTGTGCTTTGGACTTGAATGATCAGGGGTTTTGGTGGGGTTTTTTTTTCCTCATGAGGTTTATAGTGAGTGGATCTTTCTGCATTACATTCTACATTTCCCTTGGAAGATTCCCTCAAATGTTTGTGAAAGGTATTTTTAAGTTGTCAGTAAAATGTGGCAGAGTGGATTTGGGAAACCCTAACCACGTGCAAGTGCTGATTGAAGGGGCTAAGCTGGCTTGTATTGGAGCTCACATGTTGTAAACGTGGCTCAGCTTGTTATATGAAGGGGATGATGAGGAAGTGCTCCTTTACACAGGGGAAAGATGGTCATGGAAGAAATTGTGCTCCATCTGTGTAACTTCCCCAGTGGCTTTTCAGCTGATGTGGATACAATTTGATGATCTTCCAAAATATTTTGTTTTGCACTAATTTACTAAAGCAACTGTATATTAATTTTTGAAGAACTGTGTTTAAAAAAATTAGAGAAAGAAGGCACAATGGACTTGGCTGAATTTCATTTCAGTGTACATAAAATTCTTTTCAGAATTTCAAATGTAGCTTCTAGAAGACTTTCAAACAAATTGTAAAAACTTGTATTCATGTGAGCCTTTCCATTTTATACCTATTTGTCTAATACTTGAGTAACTACTGGTCTGGACTTTTCTCAGTAATAGCAATGTTGAGTTGCTGGTTGTTTGCTTTTTATATAGATTTGGTTGCATCTTTTATTGTGCATGCAATACGTGCATTAATGCCTGCAGTCTCTAGGGATGTAATGACAGTTCTCTGTAGTTTGTTTCTTGGGCAGTATTACAGGAAATACTGTAAACTGAAAGGTTCTGCAAGGAACCATACAAAACCAGAAAAAAATGTTGGAGTTTGAGATGCTGATAACTTGATGTAGAATATCTACATACAGTGTGTGTGAAAAGTCAGGATTATTATGTGTGCATTTTGGGGGAGAGGTGGGAAGCTTCATTTAGCCTTATAGGCATTATCATTTCAAGCATCCCATGAGATCATCAGGACAGTGACTTGCAAAGTATTTAGGCAGATCAGCTTCTCTGGAAATGGTTCCTATACTTTATCTTGGGGACTTTTTTTTTTGTTACTCAGATGTTTGAATACTTGAATAAACCATTCTCCAGGACAAAAATCATTTTAATCCTCTTAAACACAGTGATCTGAATTATTTGACAAAGTTGTACAGGGCTTACACATCAAAATACTGTTTCAGTGTTTGGATATCCATGTGTTTCCTTTACTTTGACAGAGTAATGTACTTTTTACCTTATTTATCTGTATGAAAATCCAACAGTTAATTTGAAAGTGTTTGTTTATATAATGTTTGTATTTTTAGGTCTTTAATACAGTGTTTCTACCTCTCCTTTGTAATTGCATGCATTATTCTTGAAACTAGGTAATAACTCACTGAACTGTTGCATAATAGCCTTTTTATTATGGCCTGTATAAATGTATATTAAGGTAAAAATAAATACTGACACTAGAAGTGTTTCTATGGTAAAATGGACTTTCTGTGTCTCCATAACCAAAAGCCAGTGGTGTTAAATCAGCCTGTACTTGGCTGGTGAAACCAGTTGCTGAATGTTCCCCTCAGCGCTTGGATGTGCCACCAGGCCAGGATGGGGCAACTTGTTCAAGTTTGTTATCTCTGCATAGCTCTGGCACAAAGTGTCCCTGAGTTTGTTTTCCATGCCTTCAGCAAAACAATTTACCCTGCTTTTTTTTAATTATTCTTTTAAACTTGGATTTGAAAACAAATATGCTAAGTAGGTTCCTGGGTAACAGCTGTATGTTCTTTCAACAAGGTGCTTATTTGTTGCCTCTAGCAAAGAAGAGCTGTCTGGGCTGCCAAAACAGTATATACAGGGCGGATTGACAAAAACTGGCAGCAAGTTACAGTTTCTGTCTAAGCTTTACAGAAAACAGGCTTTGGCCCCCTTGTAACCAATATCCTCTCCCCAGCCAAGGTGTGCTGTGGTAGTTTGTGTATGGCTCTTGTGTTCCTTAGTTGTACCATCAAGTTCTTAAAATAATTAACTGGGAGAAGAAACCCCTACGGTTTGTGACTGGCACATGAAGATGATGAGGAAGAAGTGAGCAGGGAATGCTAATGATATGTCTGAACACAGATCTAGAAACAAAGCAAAAGCCTTAATGCACAAATCTAGCAGATAGGCGGCTTTCCCAGAAACTCACTGGTTTTTGTTGCTTTGCTTTTTTCCTCAGGATTCAAGCTCATTCTCCTTCCACTCTTGCCAGCAAGACTACAGCTGCACAAACAGGAGAGGAAGAAAAGGCCTATTCTTGTTTGCTGTTTTCAGGAGGAGGGGACCAATGTCCGTGGCCTGTCTTTCTGCATAAACTCATTCTACAAAGATCCTGAAGCTGTCCTCTGTCTTCAGCTCTCTGTGCTGAACAGCAGGTGCTTGTTTCTACCACACACTTTTTTCTCAGCCTTTGACAGAACTTGAGATACTGGATGTGCTTTTCTAGTTCAGCTCTCTAGCATCTACTCGAGAGCACCATGTTCTGTACTTGTTCCACTCTCTCCACAGTGTATAATACAGACTGAAGAATCTAAGCCATGTTTTGATTCTGACATTTGCTGCTTTTTATAAGCAAGAAGTTGAAGTCTCCTTGAGCCCTTCCTCTGATACAGTGGATGAAATCCAGGTAATTTAACATGCAACTAAGACACTACAAAGTATTGAAAAGCATTTTTCAGTTGAGAGGTGTGAATTGTTCTTGGGACTCACTAGGTTCTGCATAGTTCTTGCTACAGCCATGTCCAGGTATTGCCATTGTCTCGTCTGGGTTCAGAGGCAGTAGCGGTTGTGATCCACTGGTGTCACAGCACTGTGCCATGCACAGCCCAGCTGTACCGAAGACGGAAGTTTCCTTTTTCCCTCTACAGCAAGTAAAGCAGGATACTGCTGCTTTCACAGCTGTTGAGGTTTTGAAATTCAGATAGGCTGCCTTGTGACCCACCTCCTTTAGGTCTCTTGCTTCCTCTCCTATTCTGTTTTATTAAATTTGGATCCTTTGACTCCTTTGCCTGCTCTGAACTCTGCTTCCTACGATGTTTTTTTTCTGACTGTCCAGGGTGCCTTTAAGTCTTCGAGCAAATCTCCTTTTATCCTGAACTTCCCTGTCCAACCTGAGCCATAACCCTGTCTATGAGTTGTTAAAAAGCTCCCGTGTAGCTCCTTCTTTCTGTAGATCAGAGAAGTATATCTCCGTAACCCCTTTCTTGAGGTTTGTAAGTCAGCTGGAGCCCAGTCTAACCAAGTCTTGGCACTGCTTCTTCGAACAAACACCTTTTCAATAGGCTTTTGTATGCGACAGGCTCCCCCCTCCTCTTTGGCTGAAAGCAAACCAAGTGCCAGTGGTGCTGCTGAGTCTTGTTGCAGTCTTTGTGCCAATCATTTCCATTGTTTCTTTGTGTGGCTTTTCACATTTTCCATGGCCCCAGCTATGTCTACAATGCAGCCCACAGACCATGGGTCTGTACGACACAGTATCTTGTTCTCGCAAATGTGAGATCAGCCGCAGCTTTCAAAACAAGTGATGCCATAAATGAACTAAGCTACATTTATTCATGTAGGTTCCTTAAAACGTCTCCCTGTTGTTAATCTTCTGTACCTGCTTTCATGATTGAGTGCTGTTTGAGCTTCTGTGTCCGCCTGTCTTTTGCCACTGGCCAGATTGTGTAACTTTGGAAAATACTCGGAACTTGGAACTAGGTAGATGTTTAAGCAGAGATTGAGGATTCTCAGCCTGGCTTACAACTTTAAGTTCTGTAAGCGTGATGTGTGAGCTAAAACCATTTATTGATTAGCTGTGTTATTTGGTGGACTCTTGAAACTGCACAGTTTACCTCCTAAACCAGAGTTCTTCCCCAGGCTCTCCATGATGCTTTTGAGAGCAGGGCAAGGAATAGTACAAAGGGATGCTCCCCAGACCTAGAGCCTGTCACACTGCATTGCCTTGCTATCCCTGACTCCATGAGGGGGGTGAAAGCAAGGGGCTGTGAGGAATGGAGTGGAGAGGGGGGTCCAAGCTCCTCTTCTCACTGAAATATCTCTTGCTGCTGCAAGTGTTGCCCACTAGAGCACCCCCACTGCTGCTTACCTCCTGATTCCTCTGGAGTTCAATTTCCCCATAAATAGTTCCCTTTGTTTCCTAGTGACTAAATAAAAATAGAAGACACTGTCAGCTCCCAGGCGTGGGGAGCACGCTGCAGGCCATGCGTTTCACTGGGTGCTGTCTGGGGTATTCTTCTATTTCATTCAAGATCCCATGATTCCCAGAAATCCGTGTCTTGCCCAGCTGCTACAGGGAAACTCAACTGGTATTTTGTGACACTTAAAATACCCTCAGCCTTGCTTTCTGTCCATAATTTGATAAAAGGTGTCCCTGACAAGGAAGGACCAAGAGGGATCATCTACCAGGTGGGAGCACGCTGCTGCCAGGTTTCTGCGAAAGCAAGGCACTGTACCAGCCTGCTGGCCACTGGGATGAGCTGGGACGTGACACCAAGCACAAGAAGTGCTGCTGTGGCATGATGACGCTCATGCAGAAGGATGAGAATTTTCCAGGCTCTGGAGAACGGCTACTCCAGAAAGGTAAATTACCATCTCCCTGCTCCAGCAGACATCCCCTGCTGTGCATGCTGCGCACAGAAGATGCATTGCATTATTTCCCTGGGGCAGTGGAATACTCCATGCTCCGAGATCTTTTTACTCTGATTTCAGTAGCATTAATTCCTTATCTAATTTTCCTTGGACCTCCAGACAACATGGTGCCTGGTGCCTGGACAGAGCTCTGCCTGCAAGGATGCTAACAGAATTAAGGCAAGTATGTTTACATTGGGTAGTGCCCATGTGAGGAATGTTCCCAGTTCTTCTACCCCTGTATCCTTGAATGCAAAACCCAGCTCCTTTCCAAATAACCAAGTTCAAGGGCCCTGTCAAGCCCAGCCTGTTTTTCTTTCACATGTTGCCTCCTGCATGCCAGTATTGGCAGTTGCTCGTGTCATTCTTTTCCACAGCAGGCTGTTTACTGCTAAGATTTGTGCAATAGCTTGTGAAATGTTCACATGCTGGTTAAGCTGCAGCCCACAAGTTGTTAGCAAAGCCAAATGACTTTACGAAAGCCAAGCTTTGTATCTGGGGGGAGCTGTGGCTCAGGTGCAAACTGCTGAGCTAACAGGCACCCCCTTGCCTTGGGGAGCTGGGGAGATGTCATGAAACTTTCAGGGCAGAGCATGTACTTCATGCTTGCGCCATCTCTTGGGCATCAGCACATGGCCCTGTGTGTTGCAGGCAGGGATTTAATTGGGCATGGTTTCAGCTGAGCAGCATTAGCAGTAAACAGTCTGTGTAAGAGCATGTCAGAACCAGGAGTGTGTAACAACCTGGGAGTAATTCCCAAATTCAAGTGTG